GCTCGGCTGGAATCGTTTTTTAAACGATAAAAACATGTTGTCTGAGACTTGGCGGGACACTGGGCAGGTGAAGTAGAGTTGAGTAGGTCACCTGTGACGTCAGTATATGAAGGGATAGTCCGAAATCGGTGTTTTCGGTGTTTTTAAATGATAAAAAACATCTTTTTGAATGTGGGGTCTGTTTTTTGTGACGATAAGTGACACTGCAATAGCGTAGCGAGGAGGGGGGGGGGCGGGTGGGGGACATATGTCCCCGGGCGCCGACCTTAGGGGGCGCCAAAATGGGTTGGAAAAATAAATTAAAAGGTTGAGGGGGGTGCAAATCGAAAGTTTGAGTGGGGGGGGGGGGGGTGCACATCAAAAGTTTGAGGGGGGGGGGGGTTGCAAATGGAAATCTTGCGGGGGGGGGGGGGGTTCAAATCGAAAAGTTTGTCCCCGGGCGCCGAGAAGGGTCGCTATGCATCTGAGTGACAGACGTGATGTTTTTTGATGGATGACCCCCGAAACCCACAGTTATCCAAGGGATGACGGGTAGTCTAGTAATATATAAAACTCGCGATTTCTATAAACAAGTGTTAAAAAGTAATAGGCCAATGTATGAGTAAAATGGCCAAAGATTTAAACAAGTTGAGTATCGAAGTCTTGACAAAATGACAAGCACATTTGTTTGGAATTGGGTTCAATTATGGCCCCAGTCAACTTAAAATCTGATCAATATGGCCGCCGAGGGAGGGGAGGGGCTTAATTGGCTTGTTTAAGTGGCGTTTATAATGGGAGATGAAATCAAACGGAATGAACCGTAATGTTTGGATGCCACTTTGTGGAGTTTTTATTTTCAGATTTTAGATCAATAGAAAATCTTTTCTTGGTTTCTGGTAAAACACGGAAGACAGCTAGAGCACTGCATTGGTCAGAAGATGAGTACAGCTATAGCACTAGTCAGAAAATTGCTACAGCTTTAGCACTGTGGTGGTCAAAGGATGAGTACAGCTATAGCACTGGTCAGAAGTTGAGTACAGCTATAGCACTGATCAGAAGATGGGTACAGCTATAGCACTGGTCAGAGGATGGGTACAGCTATAGCACTGGTCAAAGGATGAGTATAGCTATAGCACTGTGGTGGTCAGAAGATGGGTACAGCTATAGCACTGGTCAGAAGATGAGAACAGCTATAGCACTGTGGTGGTCAGAAGATGGGTACAGCTATAGCACTGGTCAGAAGATGAGAACAGCTATAGCACTGGTCAGAAGATGAGTACAGCTATAGCACTGGTCAGAAGATGGGTACAGCTATAGCACTGGTCAGAAGATGGGTACAGCTATAGCACTGGTCAGAAGATGGGTACAGCTATAGCACTGGTCAGAAGATGAGTACAGCTATAGCACTGGTCAGATGAGTACAGCTATAGCACTGGTCAGAAGATGAGTACAGCTATAGCACTGGTCAGAAGATGGGTACAGCTATAGCACTGGTCAGATGAGTACAGCTATAGCACTGGTCAGAAGATGAGTACAGCTTTAGCACTGGTCAGAAGATGGGTACAGCTATAGCACTGTGGTGGTCAGAAGATGGGTACAGCTATAGCACTGGTCAGAAGATGAGTACAGCTATAGCACTGGTCAGAAGATGGGTACAGCTATAGCACTGGTCAGATGAGTACAGCTATAGCACTGGTCAGAAGATGGGTACAGCTATAGCACTGGTCAGAAGATGGGTACAGCTATAGCACTGGTCAGAAGATGAGTACAGCTTTAGCACTGGTCAGATGAGTACAGCTATAGCACTGGTCAGAAGATGGGTACAGCTATAGCACTGGTCAGAAGATGGGTACAGCTATAGCACTGGTCAGAAGATGAGTACAGCTATAGCACTGGTCAGAAGATGGGTACAGCTATAGCACTGGTCAGATGAGTACAGCTATAGCACTGGTCAGAAGATGAGTACAGCTTTAGCACTGGTCAGAAGATGGGTACAGCTATAGCACTGTGGTGGTCAGAAGATGGGTACAGCTATAGCACTGGTCAGAAGATGAGTACAGCTATAGCACTGGTCAGATGAGTACAGCTATAGCACTGGTCAGAAGATGAGTACAGCTATAGCACTGGTCAGAAGTTGAGTACAGCTATAGCACTGTGGTGGTCAAAGGATGAGTACAGCTATAGCACTGGTCAGAAGTTGAGTACAGCTATAGCACTGATCAGAAGATGGGTACAGCTATAGCACTGGTCAGAGGATGGGTACAGCTATAGCACTGGTCAAAGGATGAGTATAGCTATAGCACTGTGGTGGTCAGAAGATGGGTACAGCTATAGCACTGGTCAGAAGATGAGAACAGCTATAGCACTGTGGTGGTCAGAAGATGGGTACAGCTATAGCACTGGTCAGAAGATGAGAACAGCTATAGCACTGGTCAGAAGATGAGTACAGCTATAGCACTGGTCAGAAGATGGGTACAGCTATAGCACTGGTCAGAAGATGGGTACAGCTATAGCACTGGTCAGAAGATGGGTACAGCTATAGCACTGGTCAGAAGATGAGTACAGCTATAGCACTGGTCAGATGAGTACAGCTATAGCACTGGTCAGAAGATGAGTACAGCTATAGCACTGGTCAGAAGATGGGTACAGCTATAGCACTGGTCAGATGAGTACAGCTATAGCACTGGTCAGAAGATGAGTACAGCTTTAGCACTGGTCAGAAGATGGGTACAGCTATAGCACTGTGGTGGTCAGAAGATGGGTACAGCTATAGCACTGGTCAGAAGATGAGTACAGCTATAGCACTGGTCAGAAGATGGGTACAGCTATAGCACTGGTCAGATGAGTACAGCTATAGCACTGGTCAGAAGATGGGTACAGCTATAGCACTGGTCAGAAGATGGGTACAGCTATAGCACTGGTCAGAAGATGAGTACAGCTTTAGCACTGGTCAGATGAGTACAGCTATAGCACTGGTCAGAAGATGGGTACAGCTATAGCACTGGTCAGAAGATGGGTACAGCTATAGCACTGGTCAGAAGATGAGTACAGCTATAGCACTGGTCAGAAGATGGGTACAGCTATAGCACTGGTCAGATGAGTACAGCTATAGCACTGGTCAGAAGATGAGTACAGCTTTAGCACTGGTCAGAAGATGGGTACAGCTATAGCACTGTGGTGGTCAGAAGATGGGTACAGCTATAGCACTGGTCAGAAGATGAGTACAGCTATAGCACTGGTCAGAAGATGGGTACAGCTATAGCACTGGTCAGAAGATGGGTACAGCTATAGCACTGGTCAGAAGATGAGTACAGCTTTAGCACTGGTCAGATGAGTACAGCTATAGCACTGGTCAGAAGATGGGTACAGCTATAGCACTGGTCAGAAGATGGGTACAGCTATAGCACTGGTCAGAAGATGAGTACAGCTATAGCACTGGTCAGAAGATGGGTACAGCTATAGCACTGGTCAGATGAGTACAGCTATAGCACTGGTCAGAAGATGAGTACAGCTTTAGCACTGGTCAGAAGATGGGTACAGCTATAGCACTGTGGTGGTCAGAAGATGGGTACAGCTATAGCACTGGTCAGAAGATGAGTACAGCTATAACACTGGTCAGAAGATGGGTACAGCTATAGCACTGGTCAGAAGATGGGTACAGCTATAGCACTGGTCAGAAGATGAGTACAGCTATAGCACTGGTCAGAAGATGAGTACAGCTATAGCACTGGTCAGAAGATGAGTACAGCTATAGCACTGGTCAGAAGATGAGTACAGCTATAGCACTGGTCAGAAGATGAGTACAGCTATAGCACTGGTCAGAAGATGGGTACAGCTATAGCACTGGTCAGAAGATGGGTACAGCTATAGCACTGGTCAGAAGATGAGTACAGCTATAGCACTGGTCAGAAGATGAGTACAGCTATAGCACTGGTCAGAAGATGGGTACAGCTATAGCACTGGTCAGAAGATGAGTACAGCTATAGCACTGGTCAGAAGATGGGTACAGCTATAGCACTGGTCAGAAGATGGGTACAGCTATAGCACTGGTCAGAAGATGAGTACAGCTATAGCACTGGTCAGAAGATGAGTACAGCTATAGCAGTGGTCAGAAGATGAGTACAGCTATAGCACTGGTCAGATGAGTACAGCTATAGCACTGGTCAGATGAGTACAGCTATAGCACTGGTCAGAAGATGGGTACAGCTATAGCACTGGTCAGAAGATGAGTACAGCTATAGCACTGTGGTGGTCAAATGATGAGTACAGCTATAGCACTGTGGTGGTTATAGCGTTAGATGAGTTCCATACAAGCTAGAACAACCCTAATGCTGCACATGAAATAAAACCAACATGAACAAAAACTTCAGAGAAAACACAACAAACTTGAGCTCTCTGACAATAGTCAATGAAGTTGAGTTTCTTTAACATAGCTCTCAATAAATTGCATTTGAAGTCTGCCAAACTTGTTGACGCTAAATCGCAACTGACATGCTTCATATTGTATGAGGTCAACTGATAGTTGAAAGCTTATGAGATTATTCTTGGGGAAGTTTTTTGCAGAATAAAATAGTCATGATAGAAAAGTTTACACCAAATTTTTTCCATTATTCAGCTATGTGTTTACAAATTCTGAACAACATACAATTTAATAATTGAAATCATGTTATGAAGTTTAATTTTAAAAATCACCAGTTCATAATTAAAAGTACTTCATGACCACAGGAAAAAAAATATAGTTTTACAAATGTTAACTCCTCTCAACCGTGTACTGATGTATTTCTCTCAACCATGTACTGATGTATTCCTGTCACTTCTGACAAGATACAAACAAAATCCACATTTTGGCACTATAATCAAAGTTTGTAAAAACAGACTTTTGGAACAGCAGAGGCCACCAAATGTTTACATGTTATTTTATTCAAAAGTAGAAAAAGTCCACATCTGAAGTTTTTCCCCAAATGTCTTCAATTATTTTTACCTTTTAAATCATACCATCAAAGATATTTCAACTCAAAATATTGTAATTGATAGTGCTGGAATATAATTTATTATGCATTTGCTACTTTACATCACTAATGTAGCAGCTGAAAGTATTAAAATGTTAATACAACTACTTTTTTATAATTTGAACATTTTAAAATAAAAAAAACACTTTACATCACCATATAGCTTTTTAAAATATCAAAGAATAAATGCTACTTATTTTTTAATCTTTAAAACAATTAGAATAAAATACATTCCTCACTTTGTAATAAAAGCAGTTTAAAATAGTAATAACAGTTACTGAGAGTTACTCTCACATTATTTGGTAAAAAAACTGGATTCTTTAAGCTCAATGTTTTACAAGCAAATGTTCAGCTGGTATTTTCTATAGTAACTATCTTACTCACAAAGTAATGGTTACACAAAGTAACTGGACACAGTAGCCAGACACATGGACACAGGCTAGACACAGTGAACACAGACCAGACACAATATAAAGGAGAGACACACAGACCAGACACAATATAAAGGAGAGACACACAGACCAGACACAATATAAAGGAGAGACACACAGACCAGACACAATATAAAGGAGAGACACACAGACCAGACACAATATAAAGGAGAGACACACAGACCAGACACAATATAAAGGAGAGACACACAGACCAGACACAATATAAAGGAGAGACACACAGACCAGACACAATATAAAGGAGAGACACACAGACCAGACACAATATAAAGGAGAGACACACAGACCAGACACAATATAAAGGAGAGACACACAGACCAGACACAATATAAAGGAGAGACACACAGGCCAGACACAATATAAAGGAGAGACACACAGACCAGACACAATATAAAGGAGAGACACACAGGCCAGACACAATATAAAGGAGAGACACACAGACCAGACACAATATAAAGGAGAGACACACAGACCAGACACAATATAAAGGAGAGACACACAGGCCAGACACAATATAAAGGAGAGACACACAGACCAGACACAATATAAAGGAGAGACACACAGGCCAGACACAATATAAAGTTTAGACACAGGCTAGACACACACCAGTCAGACTATATACAATAAGATTGCAATATTCCACATCTGAAAAATTCATCAGAAATAATAAAAAATAGTACATTATCAAGCATCTCTGTTTACAATGTGCATAGAGTCCCGCAGTAAAGAAAAAACAACCATCACCACATCTCACAGCAACAACTGCAACAGGCTCTCAGGGTCTGGTTTCTCAGCCATCCCAAAGGGGAGGTAACCCATATCACGAACAGCTTTATCTGTGGCTGGGCCTAGTGTTAAAATCTGGGGGTGGTAAGTTCATCATTAGTCTTTCTGGATCTTCTGTTTCATAATGGTAATTAGATCATTAGTCTTATTGGACCTACTCTTCCAAAAAGTTAATTAGATAATTAGTCTTCATGGACCTACGCTTCCAAAATGATACATTTTTAATAAGCTATTACAAGAATTGGTTATCAATAAAAACATACTGGTGCAAATTATTTTTTAAAGTAATAAGTCAACATTAAATGTATAAAATATATTAGAGAAATTCAAAATTATCTATATATTTGATGTGATTAATACACTTCAGATGAGTTTGTTAAATAGTCATGAGCCACTAACTGTTACTGCTTGCATGTTTATAAAAAATCAAACAACTAAAGTTCTATTTAAGATTCTAAAAAAATTAATTGAAGAAAAATTGTACTCTTGTGAGGTCAGTGATTCATCAAGTACTTCAAACCAGTTTAGTTAGCTCTGACAGTCTGGCTAGCCACTAAAGGGTTAATTGACTTACCTTGACCTTGTCTAAAGGTAAGATGTCATTGTCCACTATTCGTTTAGTGTTTTGAAAACCAGATGGACTAAAAAATACTGCATAGTCGGGTATTCCCTGTCAAAACATTAAACATTTATTTTTAAAAAACTACACTTCATCACTCAGTAGCAACCACATTTTCTATTTGAACTAAAGGGTGACAATCCTTAGATCTAGAGGTCAATATTTTACATGTCTCAGAAAAAGAAAAGGCTGAAACAGGTAGTATCAATATAAAATAAAAGCTGTTTGTTTCTTCTAAACTAGCTCAAAGTTAACCGAATGTTTTGTAATCTGTTCTTGCCTGCAGTTTTTTCATTGAGAGTTACATCTCTTTTTCACAATTTAATGTACAACACATAAAACTATACATCACATATTTCATTTAATAGTTAACAAAATTAGGTGAAAACATTTATTTTTGTTGAAATATTTAGACCTAAAATAATAATAATAATAATACTCTATACACATTACATACTAAATAAGTCTAATTAATTAAATTTTATATTGAGTTTACGGTACAGCAGTTCTAAAGTTAATTCCTTAATAGGCCCACACCACACACTTTAGGCAAAGAGTGTTTGATCCACTAATGACACCAACATACCTGCTCACCAAGTGATTTCTGAAGGCTAAGTTTCAAATCCTCATTGAGACAAGTTTCATATGCAGTCACCTCTGTGATGGGAATCCCTGGAATAAGAAACTACATCAACATTCCAATTTCTTAGCAGGTACACATTTTCTATTTTAAAATCTAAAGATAAGGTATAACTACAAGTAGGAAAATCTTTCTTCTTCTGCGTTCTTAATTTTTAGTGTTGGAAGAGATTCCCACAAGAGATTCCCTCCCACACAATCAAGTATACATGTCAACTTGTTATGCCCCATATAGGCTGTTGACTCCGATTTTAGCCTGCTTTTCTTTTTGGATTTGCTTCCATAGCCCTTGTCCAAACAAGAACAAATTACAAGAGCAGCAGTCGTTTGATTTTGAAGTTGTCTCTCCTAGAAGAGTTGCTGTCCCGAGCGGTCGAGCCTCATCTGATCGAGGGGGCGAGCTCGAGACTTTTCAGTTTAGAAACCATGAGCTTTACCGACTTGACCATGCCAACCCCTAAATAGGAAAAACTAACTTTTAGATTTTAAAACCTAGCTTAATCCACGGATAAAAGCTTAACTGGTGATAATCAGTAAGAACACAAGGATAACTTATTTTTTTAGTAAATTGTGTTATGTTAATTTTCATTCAGATTTTAAAAGCGTGATATTGTGAACAAGTTCTTACCATATTTAGTCAGGATCTCTTTTAAAGTGTCTCGACGAATATTAGAACAGGGATACAACATAAGCTTGCTTTTATCACAGGTATCTAGAACATTTTTATTATGTAATAAAAAACTTAAGTTACATAATATCAACACAGAAATCAATGAAGTTTATATAATACAGATGATGGACTTTACTTGAAAATACACCTGTACCTTGTAAAATATATTCTGCCAGAGCCTCTGCATTCCCTGTGTTTTCACCTTCAGGTTTGAAGTTAGCTTTCCTGGCTTATTGAGAAAAAAAAATTGATGTACGTTGTAGAAAAAATTGATGATTCACTTAACGTATGCTATGATAATAACTTATTTCATCATTTTCCTTCGAAATTTGTTGAAAATTTTCAAACTAAACTAAAAATGTGATAAATAGGCTTATTTATTTTTCTAATAAATCAATTTTAAATTGCAATTAACTGTTTTAAGTTTTTCTTTAAAATGTGCAAATTAGTTTCAGGAAAAAATAAAAAAAATAAAAAGATTAAACCAATCGACATATACCAGCTTCAGCAGTTGTTTTGCCCACAACAAAAGCCCTTGTTTTACACAATGTCTCTACATCATCCAGCTCTGCAAAGTACAGAATTAAACAAAACAATAAATATTTTACTTACAAAACATTTAAAATAATGAATGCCATTTTAAAAATTAAATCTATTATGATAAAAAAAAATTATAAACTAAACACCACTATCATGAGTAGCTAAATAATGAAGTGTCTATTCCAATATACTGGGAATAGCCTTGGTCTTTAAATAAACCAAACTTAGAAAACTCTATCTTCTTAACAGTACAGACAGAGTGTAGAAACATTGTTTTTATTATCGTTATCCAAAACCTAATACTGATCCAAGCCTTGGTTCTCAGCCTAAACCTAATGAAGGGTAAAAAATTAACTAAAAATATAAAATACTATCTGGATAGTGAATGAATGGATCAAGTTCATCTACCAATGGTTCAACATTAGAATACCTGATTGATAACAGACCTTTGATAAGATTGGCCACAGACTCCACAGCTCTGACACTGGTAAATATAATGGCAGAAAACATGTGGATTGTTTTTAGATAAGATTTCAGAGTTGACTGGTTGACAAATGTAAAGGACAGCACAGGTAGTGAAACACAAGAAAAGCCAGCTTTCTCTAGGGTCTGAAACAAAAATTTGAAAATTATTAGATAAGCCTAGCCTAATCCTTGGTCCTAATCAGCCTTAATATCATTCATAATTTATACAAAGTGTCTATTCACAGTCGACTGTGAATAGCCGTATTGGGGCTATTCACAGTCGTAGTCACGTGACCGTTTTTTGATAGATTTAATTTTAAAAATTCTTAATTAGGCATGAAGATGTGTGGTCGAGCGGTCATTGGGAGTGATTGCCGTGCCAGGTGTGGGTTCAAATCCATCAGATGCCCTATTGCCATGACTCTTAATTTTTTTCGTTACTCATCGAAGGGTTACTTTTGTTAAATTTTTTTTGTGACGTAATTGTTGGCATAGCAGCAAAAAAAAAAAAATAAAGGAGAGAAAAAACACAAAAGTGTGATGGAAACTGAATTGTAACTGATGAAAAGGGACATCCTATTTCACCTGATATTTATTCTATGTGATAATGTGAATTTTTAATGGTAATTGATAAGTGAATAGCAATGTGAACAACCAACTAAACTTTACCAAACTGATGCTTAATTTGTATTATTTATTTAAAATTACTAGATCTATTATTCTAGTGTATAGATTTAGAGTGCATAATTGACCATCTATGACCTACGTAGCCTGTAGCAGATATGTCTGACATGAGCCTAAAAGCTAAACTAAACTTTAATTGTAATAACTTTTTTATAACAAAATAAAAATAGCACTGCTCTCTTAATCTATACCTCATTCCCCAGTCACTATAAATGCTTTTATTATTTTAAGATATTATACATAGTCGTATTTCGCATGAAATGACAGCCCACTGTGAATAGCCGTATTGAGGCTATTCACAGTCGGCTGGGAATAGCCCCAATACGGCTATTCCCAACCAGCTGGGAATAGCCTTGGCCTAATTTATATAGGTGCTATTTTTATTTAGGCCTATTTGTTTATTAATTTTTAGGGCTCATTTTATTGCTTAGATATTACTTACGGCTTTGTATAAGTCTACATCATTTTCTTTCTGGCTTTTGAATAAGAAAACAGATTTCCTTTTTTGGCTGAGTTGGTTTCCATTGTTGTCTTCATCACCCATGAAGAGTCAACAACCAGACAGCCTAAATAAAAATATTTATAATGAAGTTAATTCTGTTATTGGCTATGTGAATTGAGTAATTGACAGAGTTCAGACAAGATTTTTGGAAAAATATCGATGTTTAAAAAAAATTCAGTAGCAATTTTGGAGGGGGTTGTAGGTTGAGGGGTGTTTGTAGGCTGAGGTGTGACGTCACTTTAGGGGGTCTGGCTTTTTGTGACGATGTGTGATGGAGGGGAGGGGGGAGGTAAAAATCGTCCAAAAAAGCGTGACGTCATTTATGGATTACCCCGCCCTTAGTACATTCTTGTTTCTAACAAATAGGGAGTCCTTAGATTACTAAATTTTTAAACAAGTTCAAGTAACAACTAACAACTCGAATTGAACTCAAGACAACATCATAACAATAACAGTATTTATTTACTATTTAACAATTTAACAGTTAACAGTAACGTGATACTGATTACTGATAGTCTTGATCTAGTCGATTGGTACCAAGTCTTAGATGTTATATTACTTAATTCAATTAAATAAATGTACCAGATCAATATTTTTACCAATCTAGAAAATCGAGTGTTTATTTTTAAGCTTTATTTTGATTTTATTCAAATGAGAGGCAGTCACTCAAAGAATCGAAAGTAAAAGAAAGTTCTTCCGATTTTGTCTTTGTAAACTCTAAATTTAGGAGAGCATCTGAACCACATCAACATTCATCTTTCACAGACTAGCCTAAACCAAAATGTACATTGAGACCAAAATAAAATTACATTATTTTCTGATGATTCAATAAAATTATAAATTACTTTAACTAGATCTATGTGTTTAAAATCAAACAAATTTCTTAAAAAGTCTAAAGAGACTTTTGCTCAAATTAATCATACATTTCTTTTGTTAGTCTTCTTCTTTTGCGTTCTTAATTTAGTTTATGGTGGAGGATTTAATTAAACAAGCCCAACTTCGTGTATGAACTGGACTGTGGTCCCCAGATTCGCGGGTGCCCCATATAGTTTTTCCTTGAGTGGGGTGTACATGGACCAGTGTTTACCACAAGGGCAAGTTTCGCCATACCCAATTTTTAGTTTTTATGCATTTGCTGTTTAGTATGTTGTGACCTGTTCTGAGTCTGAAGATTATAAATTGTTGTTGGCGTGTCAGTTTGTAAAATCCGTCCTCTCTGTTAGACCACATTTGTGTTTGTTTTTTATGATTCTTTTTATTTCTTTTGGATGTAGCGATATTTCTGGTTATTTTTTTCTCTCCCCCAATTTTCGCCAGCTGGTCCGATATCTCATTTCGATAATTGTATCTGGCAGTGGCCCACCACTGTAGCACCATCATGCTGCAAGTATTTTTTAGCATTTAAAGTGCTGTCCTGAGTGATTGAGTATAGGACTCTGGATTTTTTAGGGACTGCAGGACAGATTTTGCATCTGTAAGAAAAAGTATATGACTATTTGGAGATTCAAGGACTTCTGACAGGAGGTTTGCTGCATGTTCTAGAGCTTCTTTCTCTGCTCTAAAGTTGTCAGATAGGCTGCCTGTGGCTAAGGACTTTTCTAAGCGTTCTCCGTTTTGGCTAAACAGGCCAAAATAACTAAATAGGCTTAGTGCTGCGAATGCCAGCAATGTTCCGACTATAAATTAAAACTAGCCGTCGGTACCCGTTATACGTGAATTATAGGCCTATATATTTTAATGTTATACTTATACTTGTTTGAGAAAAATATTTTATAAAATAGTTGTTAGGGGGGTCATCCATAAATGACGTCACACTCGTAGGGGGGAGGGGGGGTCCGTAATTTTGTGACGATGTGTAATGAGGGGGAGGGGGCTAGGGGTTCAGATGTTGCGACGTCACATTTTTGCATTATACAAAAGCAATGTTAGAAAACGAATTTTAGACGTTATTTCGCGTTTTAGTTAACTGTTTTAATAAATTGTAATAGTTCAGACAAGATTTTAGAAAAATATCGATGTTTAAAAAAAATTCAACTGCAATTTTGAGGGGGGTTGTAGGTTGAGGTGTGACGTCATTTTAGGGAGGGGGGGTCTGGCTTTTTGCGACGACGTGTGACAGAGGGGAGGGGGAGGTAAAAATCGTCAAAAAAAAGCGTAACGTCATTTATGGATGACCCCTAGTCAAAACGCTATGTGCTTTACTACACGTTGAACGATATTAGTGACAAAGCAAAGAAATAACTAAGTAGCTAAAAACCCGACACATTTAATATGACATAGGCATCCTTTAAAATGTATTTATTTTAATGCATTGCATGAGAATAATAAGAACACCCATATTGTTTTTGATACACTGTAAGGACACCCTCAAAAATAAGCATCAACATATTGTTTTTTGATACACTGTAGTGATATCATACAGAATAATTGTGCCGTTATTGAATTTAATGAATAGTAGGGGCATGCTTTAAGTAGTATAAAGATAAAGTATTTTGATTCTTGATCATTCTGACTGTAAAGTAATTGGGGGCACCTTATAGAGCCATTTTAATTACCAGTAGAGTAATTGAGCCTATATTGATTAAATGCAATTTGAGGGAGGGAGTGGGTGGGGATGGGTGGTCAGGCCATTCTCCCCTACCTGAACTTGACAGCAGTAATTTGATAGGAATGCGTTACCTGGGTGTTAAACTTGGGAAGACACATCCTTAGGTGTAGCGAGGGTCTGACAAAGCACAGTGGATGGTTAGACACCGACCAATGTAGAAGTTGTTTTTTTTAAGGTAGTAAGGTGTGGTAGGGCTGGCAGCTGTAGCCAACCATGATTCACTTCTGTTATATTCAAGGCTCAAACAGTTTGAGAGTGTTTAGCATCACAACTCCTTAAAGCATTGACCTTTTGATCGAGTGGTTTAGAGATACAAATGTGAAACATCGCTAGTTCAATACACACTCTCACCTGTATTAATTACCCTGTAGAAATTCCCGAGCAGGCCAAGAGAGAAGCAACCCATAAATAATGGCGTATCTGACGCCTTAATTGTAGACACGGACATCTTTTTTGTGACCGAGGTCCCGTACGGTAATATAAAACCGGATGAGACTCTTTTGTAGAGCATGGCATACAACCCCCCCCCCCCCCCACGACATGCCCCAACTGTTTCCCCGCCCCGATTTCCCGAAGTTTTACCCATTAATACATTTGAGTTCGTCATTCCTTGGGATTTAGCCGTAATAAATGTTTTCATCTAGATAAGTACAATTTTTTTAAAAATGCTTCTCTATTTGCATTTTTAATTAAGCTATATATATATATATATATATATATATATATATATATATATATATATATATATATATATATATATATATATATATATATATATATATATAGTAAGGGGGCATCTCCCTCTTGAGTTGGCCACGGGCACCTACACAGGTCAGCACGCCACTGCCTGTGATTATATTTTTAACTAAAAGTCGAGGCCCATAAATCGGACCACGTGATAGGTTCCTGCCAGAGCTGGGCGCGACCCAATCAGTCAACAATAGGAACAGGTAGACGGGGGTGGTGGGTGGGGGTGGGCAGTTAAAATGTGAGAGCACAGCCGAACGATTAAATCACACCTGAACTGAGCATGTTAGATGGAAGGTAGGTTTATGCAGTGAATGTCTAGATTCTAGCTCTAATTGTTTCTGTACCACAATTGTAAGGTAGGTTTGTGTTGTGAATCTCTAGATTCTAGCTCTAATTGCTTCTACAGCACAACAATATATATATATATATATATATATATATATATATATATATATATATATATATATATATATATATATATATATATATATATATATATATTTAAATATATATATATATATATATTGTTGTGCTGTAGAAGCAATTAGAGCTAGAATCTTCAGCCGGGGGCCCCGCTCAGCTTTAATCCGCCCCTGCTCCAAATGTATACTAATTTTTTAGTGGATTGTGTTATACACACTATGAAATCGGATACCCGAAAACATGCATCAGAGAGTAGCATTCGAACACAGCTTTAGAGGGTTGCTGTATGTCAGAGGGTCGGTAGCTGTGTAACTGCGACTTACAACGTGTGCAATAAAAAAGAAGGTAATGATCCACACTCGTAAAATACCTTATTGAATAGACAGGGTAAGTTTAGTTCAAAATGAAAAAAAAAGAACCAAGTAAAACAGAATATATTTTTTTAATACTGCTTTCCTAACTTAGATCATTTATACATTATACTGTAAGCAATAAATAATGATTTTAGATTTTGTATGGTGTCGCCATCTTATAATTGTAATAGTAATTCCAAAGAAGTAAGTTTGAACAATAGGATCGCTAGTCAATATGTTGTACAACTTAACATCTGAACAGAGCCCAGAAAGTAATATGCCATTGAGGGCAAGGTCAAGTTTCAATAGAACACCATATAGGGGCCTATATAGACATATTTCGGTAGACCAAATGTCAGTAAACCTGACATCTATAGACCAAATGTCAGTAAACCCGATGTTGGTAGACAAAAAATGTCAGTAAACCTGACATCTGTAGACCAAATGTCAGTAAACCCGATGTCGGTAGACCAAATGTCATTAAACCCGATGTCGGTAGACCAAATGTCAGTAAACCTGACATCTGTAGACCAAATGTCAGTAAACCTGATGTCGGTAGACAAAAAATGTCAGTAAACCTGACATCTGTAGACCAAATGTCAGTAAACCCGATGTTGGTAGACCAAATGTCAGTAAACCACGAAATGTCAGTAAACGACCAAATGTCAGTAAACCCGATGTCTGTAGACCAAATGTCATTAAACCCGATGTCGGTAGACCAAATGTCAGTAAACTACCAAATGTTAGTAAACCCGATGTCGGTAGACCAAATGTCAGTACACCCGATGTCTGTAGACCAAATGTCAGTAAACTACCAAATGTCAGTAAACCCGATGTCGTTAGACCAAATGCCGTGGTGGATAAGAGTCAGTAGCAGTGTTTCTTTCAGACATTTTTCTTTTTTCTCAGGGGGTCATTTTAAACTTTCGGGAGGGGGGGGGGGGGGGCGGACTTAATTTTCCGGGTAGCGGGAATGGACACTGGTTGGTAAATTATACATTTTCTGCCTCAATTTTATTTCATATGGAGGGGGGGGGGGGGTAGACATTCTTCAGATAAGTGAAAGAAACTCAGGTCATTAGACCAAAAGTCAGAGACGAAATGTCTGATGACGAATTATTGTGATACCGCGCGATAATTCATGTTTCTAGTTTCTGACGTCATGAGCATCCGTAATACTATAGCCATAATTTGACATAATTATCATAAAAGCACACGGACAATCGCTACAGCTATTTAACGTGTGAACCAGATTTTGAGAGTCCGTGCTTCTCACATTGACATCTTATGGAAAACGACACGATGAAAATTAAATGTTATCAATATAAATCACCATAAAGGCTTTCCTTGATTGCCCTTTCTTCTGAGATCGCTTAAACGTGCAACGGGTAAGCTAGGAACTATAAATTACTAGATCTAACTAGATCAAGAGAGTTAGAAAATGCTGTGTCAGCAGTTTCCCGCATGTTCTAGCTCATTAGCTGCAGAATTAAAAAAAAAAACTCGGAAGAGGATAAGATTAAATTTAATTCTTAAAGAATATTAATAACCGTTAGAACAATAAGATTTTTTAATTCACGCTAAAATCGTGCGTTTATTTTATTTTTAACTAGATCTAGACAAGATCTAGGATAAATTAGGCCTAGATCTACAAAAGATCTAGGTAAAATCACGATATAGCGTCGGAAATTATCTGGCAATGTTTGTTGAGTTTCGGTAACATTCGTAAACCGTAGTTTATTTGACCGTTGAAATAAAAATAGAGTCAAGTGCATTAAATTAATGTTTTAACTTAATTTAATGTTTAATTGACAAAAAATTAGCAACAATTAGTAAATCTAAATATTATTAATAAAGTCGAGTGTAGTAAATAATGTTTTTTTAAGAAACCCAGAAAAATAAAACTTGCACAAGATTTGCGACAACTAGATCTAGTAAAATTTAATAAGACGATTAGTTAGATTTACTAAAGTTAAAGTACTAAGAAGAACTAGAACCAGTGTTTCTCCCAGACTTTTTTCTCCGGGAGGGGGGGGGGGGGGCGGTCAACATATTACGGGGGGGGGGGGGGGGACACACTAATAAAAGTGTATGTTTACTATATGAATTCCATCTTGTTAGGGGGGGGGGGAGCGGTAGAGTAGCTTTCATAAAAAACGTTTTAATAACAAGCTTTTATGTAATAATGCACTAAATAGGAGAAAATAAATTATACACTACTATTTAAATAACTATAAAAGCTTGTTATTAAAACGTTTTTTATGAAATTTTTCAAATTTAGATCTAGATCTACATTTTTTTTGTGAGGTCGTTAATTTCTATATTTTTCCATTTCTAGTTTTGCTAAGAAAGACAACTCTTAAATAAAGAAATTAGAAATTATCAGCGGGGATTTCCCTGCACTGCTGCTAATACCTTTGTTTGCTGGTTAGATATTTTTCAAACACTAGATCTAGATCTATTTTATATAGCCTATCTAAAAAATCTTAATGAAAAACCGAAAAACATATTTGTAATCTTTATCTAGACTCTAGGAATAATTTATAACGTTCATTCTAAATCTAGAGAATAGAGATCTAGAATCTAGGAATCTAGAGCCTCGGGCTCTAACAAACTTAGTACTAGACTAGGCACCGTCCGTTAGTGTTACTCGGCGGCTGACTGGTGTTCAGCTGCTTATTAACTTTATTAATTACTAGATCTAATTAGAGATCTAGATCTAACTAAGTACTAAGTAGGCCTACAGGTTGTTTCTTTAAAGTTTAGAATGGGCTCTAAGTCTAAAGAGAATAGTTGTGAATTGTTCATTAAATTATCCAATAGTCAATAGGGCTAAATATTTTTTAAAAATCGGTGCGATGTTTTAAAATAAATGTTAGATTTTTTTATATATTACCATAGTGGGGCTTATACAATATAAAAGGAAATACTGCACTTGATCAGTAAAATGGTAAATTAATATTTTAGGCCTATAATATTAATTTTAGCAATGGCAGACACGATACTTTAAATTTAAAAACATATTGACCCAGATGACATGATCAAGTGGCTAAGGGATGTTCTATCTCACCCTTGTAGAGGCTGAACAACGTATATTTAAGCTTTTCACACAGCATACCCTGGGATGTTTAGCCCCAACCACTAGGATCCAAGGAATGCAGAGGCGTAGCGATGGGGGGCAGGGGGGACATATGTACCCGGGCGCCGACCTTAGGGGGCGCCAAAATGGGTTGTAAAAACAAATTAAATGTCAATTTAGCTGCATTTTTGCAGTTTGAGGGGGGGGGGGGGGTGCAGATCAAAAGTTTGAGGGGGGTGCAAATTGAAAATTTGCTCCCGATGGGGGCGCCAAATTGAAAGTTTGTCCCCGGGCGCCGGGAAGGGTCACTGCGCCTCTGAAGGAATGTAGTGGGGACATTTAAATAATTCAAGTGATAATCAGCCCAAAATTATACATTTAGTATCTAGGAATAGCTGATAACCAAAACTGATTCTGTGTTGATATTTGAACTGCACTACAGGTCTTAGGAAGTTACTTGACAGTGATATTTTTCATTGATTTAACACTCAAAATCCCCCCTCCCCCCTCAGATTTCTTGAAATGTTTCTTCTCTTAGGCCATCGATAGAACTAACCTACAGTAAGAATAAGAGCTTGTTCCCTTTTGTCACTCACTGTTAGATTCATTGAAATGTCTCCTTTTTAGGCCAAGGATACAATAAAGCTAGTGAAGATAGGTTGAGGCTAGATATTCATAATTCCATTTCAAAGAATATACTGAAACTGAATGTTCAATTTCTGTCACTAAGTTCATCATGTTCATGATCTGTTTCTAAAGGCTATGGTTATTATAAATCAACTTTGTGTTAAAGTTTTGGTACTTTTAGCCAAATTTAATGAAATCCAAACTTAACATTCCTCATTATGTTTGTAGCAACACAATTTGTATTGAACCTGCTAGCTAATAAAGCAGTAATTAAACATTCCACATAAAAGGGTAGGCTTATGGTGTTAGGTTAGGTTTATGTGTTTATCCTTCAGTAGGATTAGGAGTGATCCATCGTATTGTGGCTGGTGTTGTAAATAAAATTCTAACTACAGTAAATTAATCAACTATAAACCATTGTAAAGGATAGGGGAAAAGGACATATTCTGATTTTGGCTTGTGTTTTCAATTTTGTCAGTTATTTTAGAAGTAAAAAATCAACTTAAAAATCTTTTTTTTTCAACAGAAAATGGAATTATTTCATGCAAAAATAGCTCATGTCATTGACCCCAACAGTTTTTGGCTGCAACTAGGAACAAGTATGTCTTTTACTTTTTTTACTTTTTTTTTAGTATAACTTTAAAAATAACACTCAGCTTTATTGTTACTATGTTAGTCTGATGTAAAGTCTACATTAATGTGTTTCTTTTGTTTTGTTAAAAAATGTAATTAACACTTCAGTTTGCCTTAACACTTAACTTTAATAAAGAGTCTTCTTGAATTGTGTTGACTTAAATATGTTCTATTTTAGCAAATGACTTTGAGAAGTTCAAGAACTATGAAGGAACTTTAGCTGACTATTACAATGAAACAAAAGATGCTTATCAAGTAAAGTTCAATGACCTGCAGCAAGGAGAAAAAGTTTTGGTTGCTGCTGTAGAGGTTGGTGCCCTCGAGACCTCTATCAGCTGGAGGAGAGCACAAGTTGCTAGAATGTAAGGATGGCATTAATTTCTGTCTGTTAGAATGTTAGAACTACACATTTCAGGCCATTTCTGCCTGTTAGAACTAAACATTTCATGCCATTTCTTTCTGTTAGAACAACGCATTTCATGCCATTTCTGTCTGTTAGAACTACACATTTCATGCCATTTTTGTCTGTTAGAACTATATATTAATATTAACAGTAATAACAAAAAAAGATTCCAACCTGGAGCCTCCAAAACATGACAAAATCCCACTCCACCAGCTTATATTTGTGACATGTTCAATATTTTATTACATTGACCCTAGCTTAATATAGATTTGACCCTAGCTTAATATAGAACAATAGTTGAATATTTTGTCACATTGATCCTAGCTTAATATAGAACAATAGTTGAATATTTTGTCACATTGATCCTAGCTTAATTTAGAACAATAGTGAAATATTTGTCACATTGCCTCTGGTTATATGGAACAAACAATGAAATATTTTATCACATTGCCTCTCGTAATATAGAACAAATAATGAAATACTTGTCTGATGGTCTGATTGACTCTGGCTATATAAAACAAACATATTTCCCCCTCAAGCATGTTCACCATCGTGCTATTTTCTTTCTGCAGAGAGAAGGACATGGTGGATGTTTTCTACATTGACTTGGGTTACACAGAAATGGTGACAATAGACAAAATCTTCCACATCAACCAGGAGCTGTTTGACCACATGCCACGCCAGGCGATACGAGTTGGACTTGCTGGCATCAAACCGGTATAAAAATTGTTCAAATATATCTTCATTAGCTTGTAAAATAAAATGTCATTTTTTTAAAACCTTACTTAACTATATCAGTAGCTCATTCTGCATGTTGGGTTCTATTGTCTAGGGATATGTAGGACAACACAATGTATATCGCATGATACAATAGATTAAATTATGATACTAAATATTAATAAGGGACGGAGTGGCCTAGCGGTAGAGAGCTAGACTGCTAACCCGTAAGTCGCGAGTTCAAATCCGGGTTCAAGTCAGTAGACAGTCCCTGAGTCCACCCAACTCTGATGGGTACCTAACTCATGTTAGGGAAAGTAAAGGTGGCTGGGCATAGTGCTGACCACACTATCTCTTCATATGCCAAGGTCACAGAAACAAGTGAACTCTACTTCACTTGCCATATGGACCGTCAGGTTTGAAAAGAGAACTTTACTTTTAAATATTAATAAAGAGTTTAATATATATATATTGATCAATAATACTACAAAAAGATAATAAACAATAAAAGGTTTACGACACAAATTACAGTACACAATACTTAGCACACTTGTCCATGTTCTTCCAAAACCACACGCCAACCAACTGCCACACATTCTAGCACACTCGCTATCACCCGTCAACTGACAATCTTCTCATGAACACCACTTGTTCTGTGTAAACACACTCAACCAAGGGCTACAACTATATGCACAAAGACTGTACCTGTTGCTCGAGCACACAACACGCACACAATCAGTAGACACTACATGTCAGGGATGTAACCCAGCATATATTAGAGTTAAGGTCTCTCTCATTTTTTTAAATGTGTGTAATACAATTCAGTGCTAGAAGAAAAATAATCTGTGTATATGACTTATATCAGCCAATTTATATCTATGGGGGTCATTCATTTATGATGTTCACAAAAAAAATTGCCATTCTTGGCGAGCATTGCCATTAATTTATATATAATCCATATGCAGATTAAAACATAAAAACATGTATTTTCATGTTATTTTACCATGTGGACATAGACACACGTTCTCAAAAGTTCACCCCCTCTCTTCCTTCTGTGTGGACTACATAAATGGATGACCCCCTTATCTGAGGGCAAAAGTGTTATATCAAACAAAAGTTTTTAAATTTTTTTTATTAAAAAACTTTATGTTAACATGTGGCATAACTCTTCCTGTTTAAAGAAATCAAACACAATCTGTCTTATTGTTTACACTCATGAACACAATGAAATGAAACAAATTATATGGTTCACTTTGCTCTAAAGGTGTATTCTTATGGTAACAATGTTTTCTCTGGTTTAGCTGACCAGATCCTGGACAACACGGGCTATCTCTCTGTTTGAGAAAGAGGTGCTGGATAAGAATTTGGTTGCATCACTAATTGAGTATGATGAAGTTCAAGACTTTGGCATTGTCATATTGTATGCACTGTAAGATTTGCCAAATTTTAGTTTTTTCTAAGTAAATTTGTTCACTATGTGTTTAATGTAATATTATTTCCCAGTTACAACTGAAACTATTACATTTATTTTTACTAGCTATGTTTTTATGTTCCTCTTTTGGTCTGTGATAAGGAAATAATAAATGCATTTCATTTTAAGGTTAATCTAACATAGTAATTAGCTTTGATTTGCAATTCTAAAAGAAATTAAATAAGAATACACAAAAATATGTTTTATTTTTGTAATTATTGTATAATGTGTTTAAATTTTAATATTTCAGGCACGAAGACAAGTGGATATCCTTGACCCAGAAAATGATAGATGATGAACTTGGCTTGGTACTGTCCTAGTTTCGCTTCTAACACTTTTCTATTTTCATTCATCAACTCTTCAATCATGCTTTATTTTTTAAATTGTAGAATTTTAAACATGAAATGATGAAATATGTTTCGTAAATTTATTTTGTAGACAAATGGCCTGAACATCAAACCAACGCTGAGTAAAGCTGAGGTTGAACAAGGTAAGTCTGTCCAGTCCATCTTATGGGCTGTTGTATTATAGTTTTCAGTTCAAGATTTAGCAGACTTTTACAACTAAGCTTAAACTATGATAAATAAAACCCCTCAAAATTTCCATGGCAACAGCATCTTGTTTTACATAAATGTTAATAATCAAATTTGACTAAGGCTAATATTGATAGTTGTTGTGTTTAAACTAAGACCACTGAATATTGTGTTGATCCTGTTACTTAGCCTTAAGGGCCAGTGAAGAGCTGCACAAACAGGCAGACAGCTCTAAAGAATCTGGGGCCAACTACGAAGACACAGATGACACTGACAACCAGTGTAACGACGTAGTGGACAACACTGATACACCATATGATGACAGCAGCAACGTATCCCCATTACAGTACCCTAGTATTGTAAGTATGGCTAAGTAGTGAATTGCAAATTTTATATCTCTTATGGCATAAACACAAGTTACTTGTAGGCCTACATATTAGCACTTGTACAACATTTGACTGTCACACTCCTTAACACAAACAGAAATGCTTTTTTCATCTTCACATAAAATGTATATTCTTATTTCAATTGTGATTCTCAAATTATTATATAAAAGTATTGTTTTTGAAAACATCTTGTGATATGAACATTTTTTCCATTGCCAGAATGCTCTGATACCCCCTATAGATGTCCCTGCATTTGATTTCAACACACTGATGCAGACCAGATCAATTTTTTTGTCAAAGATGCAAGAAGACAAGGAATCTGAATCTCGTTTGCATCTTCAGACCAAGCTATCACAGGAAACCAGCAGCACTGAGCTGATGGATCAGACCGCTGGGTTCACACAATGGGGTAAGTTAAAAACTGGACAGTGGCGTCCTACTCACACAGATGCACATACTTGTTATAGCAAGTTGAGAGTAAACTAGCAGCACTGAGCTGATGGATCAGACCGCTGGGTTCACACAATGGGGTAAGTTAAAAACTGGACAGTGGCGTCCTACTCACACAGATGCACATACTTGTTATAGCAAGTTGAGAGGAAACTAGCAGCACTGAGCTGATGGATCAGACCGCTGGGTTCACACAATGGGGTAAGTTAAAAACTGGACAGTGGCGTCCTACTCACACAGATGCACATATTTGTTATAGCAAGTTGAGAGGAAACAAGCAGCACTGAGCTGATGGATCAGACCGCTGGGTTCACACAATGGGGTAAGTTAAAAACTGGACAGTGGCCTCCTACTCACACAGATGCACATACTTGTTATAGCAAGTTGAGAGTAAACTAGCAGCACTGAGCTGATGGATCAGACCGCTGGGTTCACACAATGGGGTAAGTTAAAAACTGGACAGTGGCGTCCTACTCACACAGATGCACATATTTGTTATAGCAAGTTGAGAGTAAACTAGCAGCACTGAGCTGATGGATCAGACCGCTGGGTTCACACAATGGGGTAAGTTAAAAACTGGACAGTGGCGTCCTACTCACACAGATGCACATACTTGTTATAGCAAGTTGAGAGTAAACTAGCAGCACTGAGCTGATGGATCAGACCGCTGGGTTCACACAATGGGGTAAGTTAAAAACTGGACAGTGGCGTCCTACTCACACAGATGCACATACTTGTTATAGCAAGTTGAGAGTAAACTAGCAGCACTGAGCTGATGGATCAGACCGCTGGGTTCACACAATGGGGTAAGTTAAAAACTGGACAGTGGCGTCCTACTCACACAGATGCACATACTTGTTATAGCAAGTTGAGAGGAAACTAGCAGCACTGAGCTGATGGATCAGACCGCTGGGTTCACACAATGGGGTAAGTTAAAAACTGGACAGTGGCGTCCTACTCACACAGATGCACATATTTGTTATAGCAAGTTGAGAGGAAACAAGCAGCACTGAGCTGATGGATCAGACCGCTGGGTTCACACAATGGGGTAAGTTAAAAACTGGACAGTGGCGTCATACTCACACAGATGCACATACTTGTTATAGCAAGTTGAGAGGAAACAGTTTATTAGATTTACTTTTGCTTTGTAATCTGATTGTTCTTTCTATTGCTTTTTCTTCAAATAAAATAGTTTAAAAAATTTTTTCACTAATTTTGGCAGCCCCGTCAGATTTACTTGTGGGTCAAGCTCATGCCTTTAACGATGTGCATGAGGATATCACTAAAGAAATTTATAAATGCTGGCCAAGCCACGCCCATGAAACAGATGACATATTTCTGGGTGAGTTAGAACAAAATTTCTTTTTTTAAAACTCTATTTGCAGAATAAATGTGTAGCCCTCTTTTATTTAAACCATTCATGTGCCCAGTATTACTTTTCTCTTATAAATTTTACTAGTAAACTGTTTATCCTATTTGAATTTTCCTGTGGAATCCTTCAACATGAATATCTGTTTGTCATCCATTATCATAGTCTTTATGTTTTGTACAGGCAAAACCAAAACTTCCAAAACACCTGTAGTGCCAACCAAGATCCCTACACAAAAGTATGTTTAACATTTTGTTGTTTGAAAAATATATTTATTTTTGGAGTTAACAATTGAGTGTGTTGAACTTGAATGTATTCATAACAAGTGGGTAGGTCTTGTGATAAAATAGCTCAAACAATATTGTGAGCCATAGTAAATAAATAATCTCACCATTGTTTTGTTTTTCTGACAGGGTTACGCCTCAGCCACAGCTTGACCCACTCACAGAACAACAGCAGGCTGAGCTGCAAACTTTGATTATAGAGGTAATGGTGTCATCTGGTGGTGTTCTGTTAGTTTAGTGGTGTTTGTGTGACACTATCTAATGGTGTCCTTGTGACACTAGTCTTTTTTAATGGTGTTTGTGTTACACCAGTCTGTTTAATGGTGTTGTGACACTGGTCTGTTTAATAATGTCTTGTGTTCTTATAACACCACTTTGTTATTCATGTGGTGTTTCAGGTCAAACCCACAATGTCCTTTAATGTTATCTTTACTTAAAGAACAGGATTTTAATGTCTTTTAACTCTACTCATTAGCAAACAATTGAAGTGTTTAGTTTATTTTTTTTTATAATGACCTATCTGGAGATTGTGTAAAACCAAAGCTTGCACTACAAATTGACAGCAACTACTAAACTCAAAATGTAACTTTCATTTTCAGATTCTGGTTAAAAATAGTGAAGAGGCAAGTTTATTGTGCTTGCTACATGATGTTGTTCAACCTGGTATGCTGATGTTGTATTCGAGCTAATGCTCAACTATTAAATATATTACAATTATTTTTGCCTGTTTTAAATAAGCTTTAATCATGCCACTAATGTTAGAATACATAAAATGTGTTTTTATGGGGTCAGTTAAAGCTAAACTTGCCTGTATTGATTAAATTCTAAAATGGTCCATCTATTGATTGTGTAGACACCCAGATTCCCATAGACAAACTGATAGCAGTAGTTACAGCTATGATTGAGGCACCAGTCCTTCACAGCAGCCTTAATCCATCCTTGGCTTTTGAAATTCTGGAGACTTATTTAGGTGAGATTTATGGTTTATGTTTATTTAGGTGAGTGGAATTTATTGTTTTTGCATCACTATTTAATTCATGCTAGTGTATTATCTGTTGTGTGAACTAGTTCTTAAACAAGTCATGTTCTAGTTTTTAACCTTTCAGTAAGAAAACTAGCTTGAGAAATTAACTTATCTTTGCTGGTGTCCTCATTTTTTCAGTGACTGAATCATCACAAGCTGCTCTCATTACTGTCCTGGACAGACTTAAAGACAAATATCTCAAGGTGAAATATGTTAATTAGCACCAATCCACCATTGTCAATTCTTGTTATATGTCACCTACAAGTAATCAGTGAGACATTAAACAGGGATAAAGTACATCTCTAACAGTGGGATGTAAGCTTCTCTGTGACAACATTGTGACTTTTATTCCTTATTATAATTTTAATTTTAGTGATTAAAAATAAAATTGTATAAAAGAGTGCTCTAATTTTAAATCAATATGAAAAGTGTTTATGCTATCTAAATGCTTCTAAAATTTTGAGTTATTTTTCCAGAATCCAAATGCCAAAAAAGTTTCCAAATATCATGAAAGGTTTTCTCTTGTGCTAGCCACGGCATTCCTACACGAGTGGCCAAAAAAGTAAGTCATTTGACTGACAGATGCAGCTTTTATCTGCCTGTAGGTTTTGTTTTAAAATTTTGGTTTCTTAAACATTAGATAGTTAGGTTCTAGTTATGCTAGCAAGAAATTATATACAGTTTCATTCATCCACAGTAGCGGAAAATAGCTGTAGTGTTCAGTAAAAAAAAATAGCAATTGTACATCAGCCAGTACAACATAGTCAAGTTGTAGATTATGTGATTTCTGTACTTTTAGAATGTAAACCTATAGGTTTCAGTATGTTGGGTAAAGTAGTTGTACATCTAATGTTTCAGCATTTGCCATCAGCTAAAGAAGTATATACTCATGTTGCTGGAGAGATGGGTTGTTTTTAACAAACAGGTAAAGCTAATTGTTTTTATTTTTTGTTACTTTCTTTTTTATTTATTGATAGTGGAAAGATGCATAACAGAAAACTTAATTTATGTGAAATGTGATCTAGCCATATATGTGAAATGTGGTCTAGCCATATATGTGAAATGTGGTCTAGACATATATGTGAAATGTGGTAAGACAATAAGAGACTCCTCTAATGATATCTTTGTATCTGAACCTGCCAGCGAGTCCAAGACTCTGCTGAAGCCATGTTCTCTGAGCAGATGTACTTGGAGTGTGTGGACACCGTCGTCAGCAGAATTTACAAAGTTCTAGCAGCTGAGTTCCCTGATAACTATGGCAAACTTTTAGAGGAGATGAGGTACAAGTTACTCCATGATGCTTCTACCAGGTGGGTTCAACCAAACTTTTGTTCCATTTGCTTGTTGACCAGCTTGTTACTTAAACTTAGGTCAAGTGAGAGTCTACTCAATGTTTTAAAAAATGGAGTGGTTGTTTTAACTTCTGTTAACATTTAATTTGTTTTGTAAACATTGAAGAAATTAAGCCCATTGCTTCTTTAGGGGTGTCAGAGTTTTATTACTGGATCTGTTGCTTAAAGTCCACATTAAAGAGGATTCTGTGGCTCCAGTGGTGCACCATGTCAGCACACAGACGGAGGATAAGACAGGTCAGTTTTCATTTAGTCAGTCAGCACACAGACATAAGACAGGGCAGTTTTCATTTAGTCAGTCAGCACACAGACATAAGACAGGTCAGTTTTCATTTAGTCAGTCAGCACACAGACATAAGACAGGTCTGTTTTCATTTAGTCTGTCAGCACACAGACATAAGACAGGTCAGTTTTGATTTAGTCAGTCAGCACACAGACATAAGACAGGTCAGTTTTCATTTAGTCTCTCAGCACACAGACATAAGACAGGTCAGTTTTGATTTAGTCAGTCAGCAAACAGACGGAGGATAAGACAAGTCAGTTTTTAGTCAGTCAGCACACAAATCCTGACAATTTGAAATTACTATTTTATTAATGATTATTTTTTCTCCTAAAGGTACCTCCAGTAGTTACCCAAAGGTTGGCCAAGTACAGACTGTCCAAAGTTCACAGGAGCAGCCAGCCAGTACCTTAAATGTTGAGACCTACTCTCCTAAGGTTAAAACTGTAAACAATCCCCCAGTTGTAGACTCAACAAGTGGCAACAAGGAGGAGAAAAAGAGAAACATTCCAAAGTCTGTGATGAAAATTCTCAAACAGGCTGATGATCCCATTGTGAAGCTAGTCAAGGAAAATGCTAGTGACTGGAACATCCACGCGCCTGAATTTGTCTGTGATAAAACAGCAGTCTCAGCTACTGAAGCCGCTCACAGTGTAGGTAGAGTTGTCAAATCTGAGCCTGCACCAAAGAAGAGAATCAAATACAGTCTTGAGGAGCTTGTCAACCTGAACCCATATCCTGAAGGAGGTTTAACAGTGAAGGAGCCGTATGAGTTGTCGTACATGTTCAGATTGTCCGAGCCACCTGTCTCATCTCACCAGGGGAGTGAACCCAATAGCCAGACCCCTACTGCTGCTGAGAAACCTGACACCAGAGATTCTCCAACTATTACTCTTGGCCCCAAGTCCAACTTCATCAACTGGAAGCCCCTTTCTGATTTACTTCCAAAAAGTAATTTAACAGCTAAGCAGCCTTCCCCCTCTAATGCTGATGTTTCAAAATCAAACAGCACACTCAAAGATTTAGCCAAAGAACTGTTGGGTACTGCTGGCCAAGGTGACAGTTTTGATAAAACTGACTATAAACCTGAGACTGCACAAAAGAAGAAAAAAAGCAAGTTCCATCCCATTGATGAGCCAGTGAAAGCTGAAGAAGATGCGGATGATCTGCTATCTCCAGAGGCTTTACAGATGTATGAGGAGCTGGAAAAAGAGCAAAGATCAAAACCTACAGGGATTCCTAAAGTCATCCACCCATCAAGGCAGGGGTCTACCTCCGGCAGTACCTCCTCCAGGTCCTCGCTGTTTGCCAGTGTCAGGAACCAGCAGAAAGAACCCCAGGGGACGTGGATGCCGCGAAGATGGTGCACGCGCTGTGGGAGTGAGCAGCATATCATCAGCGACTGCCCTGAAGATATCACTTATGAATACTCAAAGGACCCGGATTACAATAACATTTACTTGTAATTTTTGCGTGGGAGAAATTTAAAAAAGTAAGGACAGGTATACAGGTAGAATTAGGCTGTTATTTTAATTATTGTTAAATAGAAAGAAATAAAAACATTGAACCCAAATTTATCCCACAGCGTAAGGCAAGTAATTAATTGTGGTTAATAGTTTTAAAGTTATAAGTGGATACTTGTATTAAAAGACAGGTTTAGTCAATTAGCTAATTGTGCTGACAGGCCAAGTTAATTACCTGCTAATTAAACTTGATAGAATGTCACCTTCACAAGCTGATCCTAGTGGTGAGGATAGTACTAGAGGCCAGATCTGTGTTGGGGCATGCATGTAAATATTTTAAATTTTTATCACATACACTGGTACTTTGCTAGCATTGAACTATTTGTGTTGCCAACAATGCATTTTGGGTGTACTGTGCTAACTGCCTTAGTCCATCTTTAATGCATACAGACATTTTGTTTTCTTCAAATATTACTTTTATTATGAAAATAATGGGAGTATTTTTTTAAATAATGGGAACTAGTTAAGGACAGATGATTTTAGTTATTTATGTGCATTTTTTAATGTAGCTTCTAAAGCATAGACTGTTTTTCATTTTTGTTTTTCTTGTTGAAAGCTATATGAAATTATTAAAAAAGAAAATCTCTTGATATACTCATACTCCGTTCATCGGACTAATAATCTGTTAATAATAAGTTATCAGCATTTGTAGTGTCTAAAAATGGTTATTGGGGTTATATGTCTAGTGGTAGGACTGTAAACTTAAAATGTACTAAATGCCGTTGGAGAGTCACCAACATTAACAAAACAGTATTTTCTCCAATAATGCGGACTACTAAATACTCGTATGGTCTGATTGATGAGGACCTAAAATTTTGCAACATAGTGTACCTTTAGACCAATTGACTTCACACAAACGGTGAAGTACCAGTGCAAATTATCTTTATATTTGTAAAAAGTGTAAAAAAAAATTGTGTTTATTATTTTACAAATTGCTGTTTAATCTTTGAGAACTAGAACGTTGCGCATTCTAGTCGTTGCTTTGTTAAAATTGTTTATTTAAAGATGAATGAGGTGAATATAGTTGCACACTCTTCACTGTTGAAAATAAAATGAAAAAACTACAATTTATTTGTGTCAGTTGTTTATTAATATGTGGTGTAACAAATCTAGCTCGTTAGTCCTCCATGTCATCACCCTGTTCGTCAGACAAGTCTTCCTCAGATGTCACACTTGCATCATCTGCCTGTAGCTGACACTTTTCACAGGCACATTTGAATAAATAATTTTCCCTAGAACAATGAGGGGGAAATCATAAATTTAACATGTAAACATTTAATAGAGCTGAGAAAACTGAATTTTTATTAATTTCCATGTGTTTTATAGCACCTTCAATATACGGGCAATTTGAGTAAGCTAGAAGTCTTTTTAAATAGCTTGAGATTCTTACTTTAAAACTTTTTGTCGACTATGTCTACTTCTCTCAAGGTCACAGCATCCTAGGTAACTGATGGTTATTTCCTGGACGAATGTAGCAACAAATACATTATATATCAAACTTGTTTAGGTTTTACACAAATAGGTGAGTTACTCTTTGGATTAAGGTATCTATTTTTTTTGTTTCAAATGTGTTCAATATATTTTTTAAAAAGTAACATTTATTTAAAGATTGCAAACAAACCTCTTCTGGTGCTATATCCCTAAGGGCAACCATTACTAAGGTGTGGTCACCATTAGGGAAGGTGATCTCAGCGTTGGGAACACAACTGTGGTTACCTACAACAATAAACAACTGGTTACCAACAACAATAAACTGGTTACCTACAACAACAGTAAACAACAGGTTACCTACAACAATAAACAACTGGTTACCTACAACAACAATAAACAACTGGTTACCTACAACAATAAACAACTGGTTACCTACAACAACAATAAACAACTGGTTACCTACAACAATAAACAACTGGTTACCTACAACAATAAACAACTGGTTACCTACAACAACAATAAATAACAGGTTACCTACAACAGTAAGCAACTGTGGTTACCTACAACAACAGTAAACAACTGGTTACCTACAACAACAGTAAACAACAGGTTACCTACAACAACAATAAACAACTGGTTACCTACAACAACAATAAACAACTGGTTACCTACAACAACACAGTAAAAAACTGTGGTTACCTACAACAACACAAACAACTGGTTACCTACAACAACACAAACAACTGGTTACCTACAACAACACTAAACAACTGGTTACCTACAACAACAATGAACAACTGTTTACCTACAACAACACAAACAACTGTGGGTATCTACAACAACACAGTAAACAACTGGTTACCTACAACAACACACTACACAACTGGTTACTTACAACACATCACAGTAAACTGCTGTTACTTACAACACATCATAATAAACAACTGTGGTTACCTACAATAACAACCCTAAAAATGTTACTGTGAATCCTTTTACGAACTAAATATATACACTAATGAATGAATGAACTAATTAAAATCTTACAAGAGCTCTGTAGATGATACAATCCTGAGCCTTCACAATCCAGGAACTCCCCTGATACTACAAGATAAAAAAAAAAAACAATGATATGCCAGGTTCAATAATTCACCTAGGTGTAATATACAAGTAACTTTGCTCTACCTTCATCCAGCTGCTCATAAACTTTCTCTATAAATTCATCCAAAGACTTTTTGTCTTCTTCAGCAAGAGACAAGTTTTCTGTATTCTTCACCCAGTGACTAAATGAACTGAAAATATAGAATACAACCATAAACCATTTAATTGTGTAATTACTTTGCCAACAAGAATCATTGGATAAACATTGGGACAAGAACTAGCACAGCATTGAGTGAACTTACCTGGACCCGATACCTTGTCCATTGGTGCCAATCAAAGCTAAGAGAGAGTTGAAGCCTTCAGATGTAAACCACTGGCGATAAACAAAATAATTTGTTATGTAAAAAGTTTGGAGACCACAAGTCATGATAACACAATATGCAGTGCTATGTAAGCAGCAGCTAGGTTGGATGAAATCTTTTCTAAATTCATTTTTAAAAATTCTGTATTCATAAAACAATGACAGCAGATAACTGACCTCTGCAATGGAGTCGTCAAACATAATCTCAGCAAGCTGTTGTCTGAGCACTTCTCTTTGGACCTAAAATTGTATGACGTGATTTCAACCACCATTTAAAATCACAATAAAACATAGTTATAATTTAAAATATATTAATTACACTGTTGTAACAAAAATTATTTTGGATATGTACCTGGAACTTTTCTCCCAGTAACTTGTGAGCAATATGTTCTTGTTCATTGCTAGTGGTATTGACAAAGTTGGAAAACAATGAGATCACTTTTCCTTTGTCTTGTGCCTGAACAAAATTTAACCATTTGATTAAAGGGACATTACAATTGGTGTAACAAACTTGTAATCCAATGAAATGAACACTTCCTTTGTGTTACCAATGACACTGAAATTTTTATACCAGGCATAAAAAAAATGTTAAAACCACATACCTGTTTAACCATTGCAATCATCTTCACTATCAGCATGATGCTAGTTGTCTCAGGGGGATAATGAAAAGATCTGAAATATAAAATATAAAACACCTATCCTATGAAACAAAAATTTTAATTAAACAAATCAGACTGTTACTATGTTAATTTATGAGAACTAGTTATAATAGAACGAGTGTAAATAAACTAGTGCTCACAGTCTGTTTCCACATTTGTAATTTAGCAATATACAATTATGTAGAAGTACTTAGAGCAACACAACTAGATTTACCTCCAATCTTCCACGAGACGATTTAAAGGATGGTTTGGGTCATCTTCTGAAGCACCTTTACACAACACCTGATGGTACTGGCTGGCTGCCTGATCTCTGCATGCAACACTGCAGTACATTTTCTAAAGAAAGAGTTTCTTTTCTTACAAGTAGACAAAGGTACAATAAAAACATTGTGTTCTTTGATGTTTGGTTTTCTTTTCTGCTTGTATTAGGGTTGTGGATATGGCTAGGTATAATGCCCTGTTTGCAATCATAAAAGTAAGTAACTGTTTTAAACTGCATTATAAAAATACTCTTAATTACTAAATTATACAAGGATTAGGAATTACTAACTAGTATCGTGCAGTGAATATAAATGCTAATGGAGTACTTATTATAATAATTATTGCTGGGTTAACTACGACTGCAACTCACCTTACATTGGGGGCAGGCGGCATACTTGGATGGGTCAACCTGACAGCACTCAGGGTGGGGCAGAGTTAAACTCGGGTTGGTGGTCAGTCTTTTAACCATATCCTCAGCACTTTCTAAGGAGCGCAAGCAGTACTCACAGGCCAGATATTTATAAAGTTCATTCCAAGAAAACTGGGCACACACAAGAGGTTTCTCCTCAAACAGGGTGTCACCTTTCTGAAAACTGTTGCAAGACACCAAACCCCGACCCTGTTTTAAATTAGCAAAAGTTTTTTTTTTTCATGGAATAATTAGGTCATGCTTTTGATTTTAAATATTTATTGGAAAAGTTTTGAGAAAGAAAAGTGAAGACTAAGGTCACACACTGATAACACACTCTACTTAGTCTTAAGTCTACACAGTTTACACACAGTTGGCATAGAGTAGTTTTCTAAGTATTTCACTTCTCTTTTTAAACCAGTTTTAGCGTAATATGCTTATTCTTTTTATTCCCAGTCTAACAAAAGTGGGTCTCTTCCTAAATATTAGTAAATAGTAATAGATAATAAAGTCATAAAGTGACCCACGCTTTTCTTTATAGTTATTTAAATAGTATTTAAATAGTATTATTATATATTTAAAAAAAAAAAAACATTTATTTTCTACTTTTTAGTGCATCATTACGTAAAAGCTTGTCATTAAAACTTTTTTTTATTAATATTTTTTACTACACCAGTGACACTTTGTTTTTTAAATCTTTGATTAGGTCTCTATTAGGGTGTCGCCTAAGATTTTAAACTTCATTATTGTTCATGATGACTTTAAAAATAAAAACTACATGTATTTACCTTAAATTTGATACCAATTTTATTTATCCGATTTAATCGTTAGCCTAGAAAATGACTATAATGATAAGACTGATTTTCAGTGATATGGTGGGTTAGTTTTTTAGGCTAGTTTTTGTGACGCGATTGACACTTCAACAGAAATATGTCATCTGCAAGATTTCTCCCCGTTCAAAGACACGGCGAGCAAAATGGGCGGGTTTAGTTTGCTGTGGTCTCAATCAAGTTATGTTTTATAGGTTTCGTTTTTACCCTGCCCTATTTTTAAAACATTAATGACATTAGTTTAGTAGAAAGCAAGTTATAATTTTCTATAGTTAAGATATATTTTTAGTAAATTCAGGACAATATCAAATACAGACATTCACATTTTGCAAACTTGTATTATGTTCTACTCGATATTCTCAATAATTAGACAAAAAAAAGGTAGGTATACATGGTAAGTTAGCATCAAACACTAATCGTCCATTGTTAAAATTAGACCGGTATAGTTAAATAACACGCAAAAAATAACGTTTTAAGTATACATTTCTGAAATGACCATGAAACGTTAAAAAAAACGGAATCATGATATCGTCGTTTTCAGCAGCCATCATTACCATGACGACGGTAAAAAAAGTAGGTCAAGCGACAACCTAGTCTATATAGTAGTTAGCCTACTATTTACAATTTATTTAACAACAAACTTCAGACTTTCATTAACAGATGCCCCACTACATATTGAACAACAGGTGATCTGGAAAAAATTTACCAATCCCAAACTGTGGAGAAAAATTGGGCAAGACCCTGTTGGCAAAGAAACACAAAATTGAAAAGAGCAAATGCCAAAATGGAGATGCATTCAATCATCATAGGCCATAGGACTTGGTTGGACACACCTGCACCAGCATAAAGTTATAAACCAACTACTAGCTCAGCATCACCAGATACAGGCAGATAGATGAGCTCTAGAAGATTGGAATCCCCAAGGAAAGAGAAAACTAGGTAGGCCAAAACAAAGGGGGAAAGGTCAACTGTCATTTAACTCTAGATCTAGAAGAAGCCGTGGGCCCAAGTAATGCCAACTTCAACTTGGAGGAATCACCCACACTCCACCACACACTGGCCACACACTCACACGAGACAAGATCGACGACAGGAAGAGAGAACCGAAAGGGGCAAGGGGTCCACAGAAATAAAGGTGACTACTTAGGCCTATATAATATCATACGAATTTCTAGATGACATAGATTACTCGAGATTATGAGACATAAGTATGTTTTTCACTGAGTACCTTTGAGTCTGACATGTGTATAACACGAACATTGTTGAAAACATGTGCAGCCATTTTCTGAAAAGTACCGGAAACACTCCCATGCAGCAGTTTAAAATAGTTCTCCGTTTGTTGTTGATAGAAACAAGATCGCTAGTCCGCATAGGCCATAAATAAGGCTTCTGATTAGAAAACATTGAGTGAGATGAGATCCTTTAGAATTAGGCTCAATGTTTTCTAATGTTAGCTAACTGCAAGCGCTTGAGTTAGAGGGAATGGATACTACTACTTGAGTAGTATAGATCCAAACAAATAATCTAGATTCTAGACCTAGACCTAGATCTCTGACTAACACCACTAAAAAAATTATAGTAAAATACAATAGCTTCTTTGAGTATGAAGATCGTAAGGCATAATTTATGATAAGTATTATAAGTAGTATTTACTAGTAGGTAGATCTAGATTCTAGATCTAGTCTAGTATTAGGTAGGTAATCTATCGTTTTAGGTACTTAAAATCGTCCGAGACTAGTATGTAGTAATGTGAAAACAAGGTGACTCATTAAATTTTTATATCAGTATCTTTTTTCACATTTTTAGGAGGATTTATTTATGTTTTGAAAGTTACAATATTGTTTCAAAGTTTCATTAATGTTCCGGTTTTAAATAATTGTATTAAAACTTTTCAGTAAAAAATAGTAAACTTTATTATAGTATAGTAAGTATAGGCCTAGTATATACTTATATTATATATATAATTCTCTTCTGGGATCAGTTAGAAAACAAGCTGCAAGTGCGCCTTTGCAGTCCCCTCTCTCCCTCTCTATCACTATCACCCCCACCCCACCCCCACATGATCTGGTGAGCGGTGTTCACTCTGTTTACATTTTACAATCATAGAGACGGGTTTGGTGACGGCTATTAGGGGCAGATAATTTAGTTTGAAACGATTTTAAACTTAGAGGAGGTAACTAAGGAGGCTGCTTTCATGGGGGGGGGGGGGGTGTAGGGTAGGGGTTGGGGGAAAAGGGGGGGTTAGTGTTTTAAAGCAAATATTTTCAATGGCAGCATTGGTACTGTCGAATTCACAAATTATAAATTACTGAAAAGTAGAAAAAAACAACTAAATAGCGGCGTATGATACGCAGCGGGTCGGCTCGTATTATATACTCTTATACAGGTCTCTAGGTCTAGCTATTTGTTTAAGTGTCCTCCGAGCTGCATTAAGTCATACAGTACCAATTATCATTATGTGTAGTGTAGCGTAAAAATGACATGACAAGGGAGGCTAGATAGTGATGTAATTGTTTAGGTACAAGGAGTGTGGCTGTTGAAATAAGCAGTTTTGTTTTGTGGGTGAATATTTAATGTAAAACGAATGCGTTTAAATAATTGAAAGCACTAATATAATTGGCCGCCTTGGCTCAACAACTTACTTATTAAAAGAAACAATTGTAGTGGAAGAAACAACTTGTTATACTGAACCTCCCCCCCAACCCAATTTTATAACAAACATTTCCTATAACAATATATTGTCAATATCATTTAAGAAGCAGCACTCTTATTAATTATTAACAATCTTTTAAATACACCAAATTATAGAATTTCTTAAACATTTCCCCCCCCCTTTGACCACCATCTCATGTCTTGGCCCACATCACTATGTTGACCACTGGTTCATATACAGGGCTATATCATTCTGTTGACATCTGTTGCAACAAATACCCATCATCTAACAACAAACCAACCAGCCTTGACATTGAAACATAACACAAAATAAACACAAAAATGAGGATGAGATAATTTATTCTTGACCATGGAACAAAGGTGTATAATGAATGGTAATAGTAAAACATTTATAAATAAACAAAGTATGGCTGCACCATTTGACTAAGATGATATGTTGTTTATGAATGCTTGATATACAAGTACAAGTGAATGCTTTCTGTGTATAATGCACAAGAATTGAATTTTTTATTTGTAAGATTGTCTCTATAGCAATGGAAAAATTTTTCACTCGACAAAACCATTAGTATAAAAAAAATGCCCATGTTTATTTTTAAATATAAGAACTACATTTGTAGATGTGTATAATGTTGAACATTTTGAATGCCAAGAAATATAAACAGAATGCTGGAAAGGACAGATATAAAATAACAGTAGAAAGTTATCTCAAAATGAGAGCTTTATCATATGGCACAGGGACAAACTACTTCAATAGACCAAAAATATCTACAGAGAACAATAATTATAGTAATAGACCAATTGTTAATACTTCAGCGATGATCAGATTTAGGATACTTTTCTTTATATATTGTCATAAAATTAAGACAGTGGTAAGTTTCAATTCCCACTAAAAATGTCTAAAATGTTCAATTTTTTTTTAATATGAAGGAACAATACAGATTCTTAAAACCGTATAAAAAAAAAATACTTATATTGTGCTGCTACCAAAATGACTATTTTTAAAGCAACAAAATACTTAATTATTATATCAAATGTGTTAAATCCTTGACAACACTACTCAATAAAATAATTTGAAACAAATTTTCAATAATTTTGATTCCACTGCATAAAAACCAGAAAATACTCTTCAAAGCAAAAACAATTGTCTTCAAAAAGCAGGAAAAAAATCTGTTTTAAATATAAAAAAAACGGCAAATACCAGCACTAAAGCAATTTTCTCCATTGGATGAAACAAAATGAAATAAGAAGCTACATTCATCAATTTTAAGAAAAGTGATAAATAGATCTCCTATTTGAAATTGAGACATATTTTTACTTTGGAGATATGTATGTTTTATTTTTTATTTCTGGTATAAGTATTCAAACTTGCAATAAAAAAAATCTTTGCAAAAATAAAAAGATTGTGTTAGGTTTAAATATTAAAACTCAAAACATGGATTTGAAAAAAATCACAAAAGGTGCACACTCGGGCTTTGAAAACAACACATTAACTGCTGGAACTTTGGTAAATATTAATATATCTACATAGACAATACCTCTGTCTCTACAAGTAGTGTCAAAAAAACATATTGTGCATATTATTCATGGTACCCGTGAATCAAAGATGTACAAATCTATTTCACTGGGCCATTTCAAAACTAGAACAAACCCACCAAGAAGAAGAATGTCGATTCTCTAAAGTTGATATTTTCTTTCTCTCACAAAAACTACTGCCATTTTTATTTAGTGTGGAGAACTGTTTGTTAACAATCACCAGTAAATATTAAACAGGACCAAATACCTGACATTTGCATGTTACTTGATAGAGAAAACAGGATGTACTTTTCTAAAATTAATCTAGCTAAAGAGCTGACGTCATATACACCCAGGATCAAACCACTGTCTTTAGGGGATTGTACTCTTCACAAACTGGTTCCAACTAGGTGCTATTTGTTGATGGTGTATTTCTTTTTACCACTTTCATTGATCACACAAATATGCTGAAAAAGATTTTTGAAAGATTTCTCACAAGCATGTAACACAACTTCTGATTAAAATTCAGAAACAATATAGTATCAGTGATGTGAGTTTGGGATGGAGGCGACTTCTATGACTGTTAATTTATAGACAATGAAGATCAGATATGAATCACTGAACAGGACCACATTGGTTCATTCCCTAGTTTATTGCACTGCTAAATACGCATGGCCAACCACTTTCACTTAAACAAAAATGACTATATTGATGACAATAAACAAATACTTCTACCCACTAACACAACAGGACTGATCTAACCATAGGTCACATCCTCACATACCTAATCACACATTCACAATCTTTTATTAATACAAATCATTGCACAACATACATACTCTCATACCCATGCAGTACAATGAAATACCATTCACAACAATCAGCATTTTTAAAAGTTTGTGGTTGCATGGAGACAAAAAAAAAACGTTTAAAGTTTATTTAGGAAGAAAATCAGCCAGGATATTTTTACTATACACAAGCACATAGACCACAATAATACACTACAAAAATACACTAGTACATGTGACAATACACCACCACCATGAATGACAACTTTATCTACTTACACTAAGGTCTCTGAAGTACTCATTGTAGTCAAGAGCATAGCCAACAAGAAATTGATTGGGAACTTCAAAGCCAATGTCTATAAAAAGATAAGTTATGTGTTCTTGAGTCAAAAGTTCATCTATTTAAAAATGTGAAAAGTACATGCAACAATATATAAAAATGTGGAAGCAACAGTAGTTTTTTTATACAACTTTTAGTCTAACACATACAATAATGACCTAATCTTATAATCTGAGTACAAAATTTTAGCATACCCCACAAACAAGTATCCCTACTTACAATCAGGTGTATATCCTACATTATCTGGAGTTCTTTTAACCAACAAACTGTAAATTGAAAGTTTTAATTTAACAGTCAAAAATGTAGTTTTGTTCATACTTATTAAAAGTTGCTATGTTTTTACACTAGGTAATCATCTTCTTTGTTTTATAATATTAGTGTTGGAAGAGATTCCCTTCAAAACAATTTATATATAAAAATGTTTCATTATATAAAATCCAATATAAATATATATTGAAGTGGTTGAGTGGTTAAAACTTTCTAGTAACACTAGCAATATAAATTTTAAAATCCTAATGTACAAATCAGCAATTAAAATAACTAGGCTATACTGTGTTGTAAATTGTTTCCAGACCTTGCAACTTTGACAGACTTTGGCCCAACAGATTTTAGAAGTTCTAATAGTTGCAACATTGTCCGCCCTGTGTCAATTATATCCTCCACAACTAAAACATTCTGTAATCAAATAATGATGTCAAGAATTAAACTTACACATGACATCTATTAATAACATAAAGATAAAAAGTGAAAGAGTTGGCTAGGGCACAGGCTAATATGTCAGATCAGCTGTTACAACCAGACTGTATTACTATTATACTGGTATAATTCATAAGTAGGCTCTGAATAATTCAGTTACAAAACATATGTGACTGTGAAGCATTACCTTCCCCTTGAGGTTCTCTAAGTTATCTCCTCCTATCACTTCAATGGAACCTGATGAAGAATCATTCTGGAAATGTTTCAAAAAATATTTGTTAACGGAAATAAATCAACTCCTTTAAAAGCTAATAAATTAAAGGTCTCACACATTCACACATTCTTACTGAGAAACGTAACAGTCAATTTATACATTTGTATAATATCAATTTTTATTGATAGTAATTTATGACATTCTCCACTCTCATATTTTTACCTAGAATAGTAGTTTCAGAGGTATTTTCTTACTATTTAGGATTGTTGCATAAAAAGTTATAAAGTTTTGATGCAGTAAAAATAATTTGAAGATTCAGTGCAAAACATCCCAGTTTTTATTTTTAAACTGGAGAAAAAAACTAGACAATAGCAAAACAAGCACTGAAGTAAATATTTTAGCAGCCAAGGATAAATAATCAAAGATGAACTCTAATTATTGGTTATGAAATAACAAGCAGATTCTAACAAATATTTAACCTGTTTGACAACACAAACTTGAATCATTTTCCTTTGTATCAGCACGAATAACAATGGGTTGTGACAGTTGGGTTATGAATGGAACAGTTTCACATTTCTAAACAGATCAGCCAATGTAAACTGTTTACATAGTTTGGATTATTTTATATTAACCGGCAATTTCCAAACTAAAAGAGACCAAGTCAGGTAAAATTATATTGACACACATTTTTCAAAAAATTATTTGACCAATACAGTTCCATTAATAGAATACCTTGTACTTTTTGCTAACCACGTTAATAAATGTGTAAAGAAAAGGCTACATAATTTTAAGATTTATTTTTAATATTTGGTACAGAACAAGTTTTTGGAAACCACTTTGTGGGGTAGGAGATGAGGTTAATAGGTATGCCAACTTTGTTACAAAAACTCAAAAAAAAATTGTTCATCACAACAACAGAGGAAAGATATGTCAGAGTTTTGGATAAATATTAACAAAATAAGTTTCAGTTACTTCAAAGTTTGTGGGCATTAGTTGTTTGTTAAAAATACAGTTCTAAAAAACTATTATATAAGGGGGCAGTCCATAAATGACATCACAACTTACAGGTAGAATAAAGTGTGGTGTTGCACCTATTTAATTTAAAAAGTAACTTTTCAAACACTGAATTTAAGCAGAAATTTTACATTTAAAAGGACCTTATTTGTAACTTGTAAAAACAATGTATCAATTATCAATATATCAGATTTAAGCTTAATTAATATAATAAAAAAGGATGCAATTTAGAGAGGGTGGAGTATGATGAAGTAACATCATTTTAGGATGAGGTTTGACTGTGGGGAGGTTAAAGCAACAACAAAAAAAAACACATAATTTTATGAACCCCTAAATTTTGAGAAAAAGTTGCAGCATTTAATTAAGCAAGAAAACAAAATAAAATAAACAGAAGTTAAGCAAACAACATGTACAACTATCTCTAGAATCATGCATATGACTCCATAGATTCCTTCTATTTCCATCAATCAAAATATTTATTTCATAGTCCAAATTGTGGACACAACCAATGCATGACACTAGATGGATCTACTTGCCCCATTTTCAGGAGTTAAGACAACAATATTGCTGTCATTTGAGGAAGTGGTGTATACAGAATGCTGTGAAATTGAGGAAACAATCATAGAACACTTGTCTAGATCAGCAGGCATAGATCAGAACTTAGTATCAGCATTCAACAAAGCATGAATATGATTTTAGGTTAACATAAAATTATGCTAGCCAGAAATTAATTTGGAATTACTGAATTAATAAAAATATTTCTGCATTAATTAAATAAACAGGTAATATATACAACTAATTAATTAGCAGTCACTTAATAAATATAGCATAGCTATTAATAGGTACATTACTGCAATTAATGAATCTTTTATTAAAATGAGTTAGAATTATTAAACTACAACAAACTGTTATCTACATCATAATTGCATAGTGCTGTTCAAATAATTACTTGCGACATTACATAAAATGAAAGTTAAATGAAGTTAAACGACTCAGCTATATGTAGTAGCTGTTATATATAAAAACTGACCCACCATAAAAACTTTTTTGTACAGAAAATACACAAAAAAACATGAACATAAACTGCACTAATCATATTTTTTTTTTTACATATTGGAGAATCCATACTTTTTGTATAATGAAATGTTTTTAGTTATATAGAAAATATAGCATACTAATTTTTAAGCATAGATTCAGGAAAAAAAAAAGTATCAAAGCCAAGTTTGATAAATTACAAGTTTTAAAAATAAATTCTACTAACATCAAATTAAAAAGATTCATCGAAATCCACTAAGATTGAGCTCAATAGTTCAGGTATACATTAATTGCATCATTGTTTTTTTATTGTTTTTTTTTGCATCTCAAAACCGTGTTCTTCAAAACTAGTTACACAACGAAAACGATAACAAAACTATTAAAAATTATTAGGGGTGTGGGGATGGGGAATCTACTAAACATGACACCATCATTTTAAGCGAGGGGTATTGGCTTTTGTGACAATGAGCAACAACAGTAGGAACAGACAAAAATCTGCTATAACTGCAATGTCATTTATGGACGAATCCTTCATGGCTAAGAATAATCTGTGATTTTTTATATGGGCAGAGTACTAATAAAAATGACTCAGACAAAATTATAGAATCTCCTCCAGTTAAAATAATTCTAGTGTACACCACTTCCACATGACCTCTAAAATATCTTGTAAACAATCAAAAAAGAATGTTTATGTGTACTCATATAAAACAATGCCATAAGTACAATGCAACTCACCACATAGCTCTTGAGTCTAATAAAATCAACAGCAAGTTGAACTGAATGTCCACTGTTTCTGTTGAGTATCTGGATTTTGTCAACCAAATCAGTGAAAAATTTGTAGCCACCCTTCAAAACACATAAGCCAACGATGGGTTCATTTTGGAAATGATTAACTATGTCCCGAGCTAAACGCTCTGTCCTGTGAAATCAAAAAAAATTTTAAACATAAAGATGATGATTTTTAATGATAAATCAATCAATTTGTTAATATGAATGTTTTGGTGCTTATGTATGCTTACTACCACTAATACACTAAAAATGATACTTTCATGTTTAGAGAAACTATTAAAAATTGTTTTTTGCATTTTAAAATACTGGCCACCACTTTACTGGCCTATAAGAGAATTAATGTAACTATAATTACAAGAAAATAGTAACCACTTTATTACTGGCCTATAAGAGAATTAATGTGTAACTATAATTACAAGAAAATAGTAACCACTTTACTGGCCTATAAGAGAATTAATGTAACTATAATTACAAACCTGTCATTGATAAGACCTGCAGGAATGAGAACATGGTCTAAATCTTGCTCATAGTGTTTGGGTATACAAAACTGGTCCAACTCATAGCCTTTATCATCATCTGCGATCTAGATGGAGTACAACATCATGCAAGTGTTAAGTTTACAAAAACATTTTATAAAACATGGTTGATACTTCATAGAAAGTAACCTCCACAATCAGATGTGGTTATAGCACATCTTTAAAAATATAAAAATCCTATACAGAAATCACCCACAGATCTGAATTCTGTTGGCCTTTAACAGTTTGTTAGACCATTATAAAATGCCTGTAACTCAACTGTGAGTATTGACTCACTTTTTTAGCATCTCAAAAGTATGCAATTTCCAAGTGAACTGTCTATCAATGCTATCTTTTCATAAGTCATGATGTTGAGACTGACTGCTCCATTATATTAAGTTAATTAAGATGCAAAGCTCTGAGATTCCTAAAGTTTAAGTTGCATTATACCCAATCCGCAGCTTCAAATATCCACATTTTCCTAGTTTGTCACTTTTATTTAATAGGATCAGGTCCTATCGTTTCCCATTTCTTCTTGTTGCAGCTTAGTTTAGTAAGGTGCATTTTCAAGTCACTGAAGCCATTCTTCTGAGACTCAGACTGAGTTTTCACCATACCTAAAGGCAAAGCTATGCACTCCTGGGGTGTGCAAAAAACATATCTAAATACAAATCTAACCAAAGTTGTAAAATTAGTGTTCAATTGTACTGCACCAAACACTTGAAGACTTCAATAATAAGCTCAATACTTTCTAAGCTTATTTTTTATTTATGCTATAGGGCTAGGGCATAGGGTCTAGTCTAAGCCATATTGATTTTATTATTGTTCTGTAGGCCCCTATGTGAAAACTTATCACAAAATACAAACATTAGGTAGGCCTAGGGCTTAAACATTAAATTTAAATAGAATAGATAGGACCTAGAAGTTTATACTTTAACCACTCACTCTGTAACATTCTATAAAAATAATTCTCACATTTAAAAAAAACATTTTTAAGGAAGGTTTTTATTAGCCTATAGTCGTATTATCTAGATCTAGTTATAGTACTGTTATTGTTATAGTATAGTTAAGTAGGCCTATTCCTATTATTAATTAATTATTCTTGATGCAGTAGGCCCTATTCACAACGTCTAGCTGCTCTAGCACAGCATAGGTTAAATAAAAATATAGAATCTAGGCCTATTATGGCTATTAACTTAAGTTTAGTTAGAGGCTAAGTTATTTTATAAATAAGTGAGTGCCCCAGGCTTATAATATTTATATATTTTAGACAGTAGTGTCAGTTAGTCAGCCAACAATGATCTAGATCTAGATCTTGAGTCTAGATTTAGATCTAGATCTAAAAAATTGTCAGCGCCGTGGTTTTTTATAAAAAACTCAGTCTATGTCAAGTCCTGATTTCATCATCATGGTCACGTGTTGTTTCTCTTTTTCCTTCTATCTAGACCCGTCCATAGGCAACAGGCGTGGTGACATTGATCATCAATGATGCACGACGTATAAAAATAAACAAAATATAGAATGAACCATAAAATAAGTAAATCACGAACCAGCTGTAACATAGGCTTCATAGTAATTTGATTATTTCAGTTAAAAAAGACAATACTTACTCGTATGAACGATTTAGACATTTTTAGAGGGAAATTACTAATCAGGTTAAATGTTTTCTATTATTCTGTTCTGGTTTTACTCTATACCGAAAACTTTAATAACATCGAAATGCAACAGCGATTTCGAAACAAGCGATGTAAAACAATTCCCCTGCTCAGAAAGTATACTCGACACTTTATTTTGTTCTGGTCATAGACAGGCTGGTTTACTGTTTTTTTTACTGCTGTACAATTCCGGAATAATCGGATCGTGATTTTACCGACAGGCTTAAATATATTTAGAGTTAGAGCCTAATGCTCACACTTTGAATAATCCCATTTGATTTCCATAAGGCAATTACTTCACGATATGTGATTATTTTATTACTAAGCTCAGTGGCGTCGGTTGTCATCAGGTGCGGCAACTCAGGATCAGTGTTTCTTCCAGACTTTTTTCGGGGGGGGGGGGGCGCTTGAAATTTTCGGAGGGAGGGGCGGACTAAAATTTCCGGGGGGGGGGGGGGGGGGCACTCATAAAAGTATATATTTTCTATATAAGTTCCATTTCCACTCGGAGAGGGGGGGGGAGACCCCCGAAGAGTTACTTGGAAGAAACACTGCTCAGGATGTCACACCCCCCCCCCCCTTTTTTTTTCACTGTAAAAGATTTAAAGTGTTCACATTTAATACTAATGATGTTTATCTATAGTCGGTTATTAATACAGTAGGATGTACAATTGTTTTCTCTACAGTTTGCATGTTTACCTCGTGGTGTCGCCCCTTCCCCCCCCCCCTCTCCTTGCCGGAATCATACATTTGTACTTAAAATACTTTTTAAATTCATTTTTAGTCTTGGTGTAACCCCCTAAACGGTGTCACCCTGTGCAGTCCACACACCCCGCCCCCGCCTCGCGACAGCTCTGACTTCTACCACTCAAATATTTATATATTCTGTGGTTCTTTGTAATACTGCATAATCAGATTTTGAATTGAATATAATTGAATATATAATATATAGGCATGCTCTTGAACTCTCCAACAGAAAAAAATATTCCAGGAGCTCAATGGCTCAATTCAGAGATTCTTCCAGGCATCTCTTCGGGGGGGGGGGGGGGCTTTTTTACCGCCCCCCCCCCCGAAAATTTCAAGTGCCCCCCTCCCCCCGGAGAAAAAAGTCTGGAAGAAACACTGGCTCAATTAGGTAGTTGGTGACTCGATTGGGATAGGTTAGATATTGGTGACTCGATTGGGATATGTTAGCTGTTAAATATTGGTGACTCGATTGGGATAGGTTAGTGGTGACAAACGCGGAAAAATTAAATTTTAGATCGTCTATTTGAGTCAGTTTTGTGCATTATTCATTATCTTTTGACCTCACGACCCCCCCCCCCTCCCAAACATCAGATTTTTGTCAGACTGCTTCTCCCCCTTGTTGTGGACGGCATTACATGAATGGCCTCTTACTTTATACTGATAAAAGTTTGGCCATTGCTTTTAATTTATTCACAGAAGTCTGTGTTCTCAGAGTTTCTTCCAGGCTCTGTTATATAATAAACATACACTTTTACTAGTGTCCGCCCCCCGAAAAATGTTGACCGCCCCCCCCCCCCGAAAATTTCAAGTGCCCCCCCCCCCCCTTCCCGGAGAAAAAAATCTGGAAGAAACACTGTGTGTTCTAGGCCAATAAGAAAATAAGCCGCTGCAAGGCTTGACACACTGATGTACCGTTTTCTGACCAGTAAAATTACATAGGGTCGGAGCGGGGTGAGTGGAAAACTATATTGTTTGGTCGAAATTCTATGACATCAAGAAAAAAAAAAGAAAAAAATATATATATAGGTATATATATATATATATATATATATATATATATATATATATATATATATATAACCTAAACGTTTGTTCGAGCGAAACTTGCCATTGTGACATAGCCCCGGAGAACACAGAATACGTCATACAACTATACAAGACTGCAGTATAAAACTCAATGATGAAACGCTGTCTAGATTCTGGCTCCCATAACCCGACTAAAATTGTATGAGCCCGCAAATTTGGAGACCACCGTACAGTTCGTCCGCGAAGTTGGTCTTGTTGTTTGATTCCTCCGATATAAATAAGAACGACGAAAAATAGAAGATTTTAAAAAAAAGTCTAATTGTACCAGAGAGAGGAGCATTTGATTAATTTATAGGCCTATAAATTAATACTGCGATTGTCATATTTAACGCCGTTATGGTTACTAATTAAACAATGTAGGCAGACAGTTCGTTCTGACCATGATACAATTCAATGAATACTACTCATAATAAAAAAAAACTAAGTTACTATTTTCGAGATAGTTTTTTTTTTTTTAAGACACGACCAAAAATGGACCGAATTTGTTTGCACCTTCGCTACGATAAACACTCTAAACTTCTGATTTTCTTCTTGGTTTTCCTTTCGGCTCAGTTGCGCATGTCTACACGAAACGGTCAACCAATTGGATTTCTTTAAGCTCATAAGCCAGCTTCCCCGCCTCTATTTCGAACGATATTGAAATTTTTATTCATGATTTTATAAGTCTCTCCCTGTTCCTCTCTCCACACTATGGCGCCTCAATACGTGTCATGTTACCCTTTGGCTCTGTGCAACACAGTAAAACAAACTCCACATAGAACTGGAGATCCTTAGTTTTTTTTTGACAAGGCAGATTTCCACATTTGGTTTAGAATGTTTAAGTATTTGAATAAATTTTACGAGCCGACCCGCGGCGTAGCATATGCCGCTATGTAGTCGTTTTATTTTTAGTTTTTATTCTTACCGCCCCTTAGTTTCAAATAGTTTAAAAGCTAAATTATCTGCCCCTGATAGTCACTAATTCGACCAGGCTCTACGATTGTAAACTTTCGGGGTGAACCACAGCTCACCAGACTGGTGGGGGGTGGTTGCGAAATGGTCTCTTGCGCATGCCCGGAGAGCGAGGGTTATTTACTCGTCTTGCCCAGAGAATTTTATATAGAGATTGTTGCCGCTTCTTATTTTGCCGCTTCTTCAACCACTGTAAACTCAGCAGCAGTTGTTCTGCACGTGGTGTAGCAGAGCAAATCTGAGAAATCCAAGTCTTTACTTAGGTCTATGTTAGATTTCAGTTTATTAATACATCTAAATATACACTTGTATAATGGGGGGTCTCCAAATATAGTTCGCCCCCGCGTGAGGGTCGCTGCGCCTTTGGGTGTAGTGAAATATTGAAATGAAATCAATTTCAAGGAACTTTGCATGGGTCGAATTAATAATCTATTAACCCAGTTGTATAAAAAGTTACTTGATTTGACCATTTAAATTTAAACCCCATCAGTTGCAAGTCTTGAGACTTATAAAAATCTAACAAGGCTAACCCAATGCTGTTGATAGGCTTACAAATACGTTGATCAAATAGTGACAACAGTAAAGTAAACATTTATATTTATTTAACTTGAACAATTTTAGAAAGATCTAAAAATATTTTGACAATAACCAACTGCTGTGACTAGAACAATGACAGGTGACAATGACAAGTGACATGACAAAATGAGACAGAAATTTAAACAGAGCTGGCAATCAGAAAAAGTTGTGCATGTGGCAGTCATATACCAGCAGTAAAAAATATTCATATTCAACTACATTATATTAAAATTTGAATGAAAATTGAAAGAAAAAAGGTTAGAATATAATACTCTGAGCAATATCAATGTGTACAAAATATTTAGTTCATCTGAAATGTTTTGACAAACAATAAAGGCCTAGGCTTATGTATTTTGAAATATTCTCTCATTTTGGCAATGCCTTCTTCCTTTGTACCAATGTAGAAATTGTCGAAGTCAGCCAAACCGTAGCTGTCAGTTCCAATGCCAGCAAAGCCGTGGTTAGGATTACCACTGTATGTTGTATTGAACAAACCTTTTTGGTCAAATGCCCCCAGCACTATGTGGCCCTAGAAATAATGTAAACAAAATTAAATGTAAGAATACTTACAAATATTAGTAACATAACATGAACATCGGCCTACTAGTATTGCTCCTAACAGTTAAAACTTACCTGAACAAAAATGGAGAGTTTATGCCATCCAGGTTGAACCGTTACATTTCCACGATAAATCACGTTATGGGTTTCTGTTTCAAGGAAGAGAATACAAAAATTGACATTAAACTAAACAATTTTAAATAGCTTGCAAATAACTGCCCAAGAAGGTTGACTGCTGCTATTGGAAAAATGAAAAAATCTGGCACTTACTGATGTCAGTTGACAAAATGAAAGACCCGTCTTGTCTGACGATAAAGAAGAGGCCATGTCCGTCTCCCATGTCACATCCACCTGTGTCGATCCTGGTGGCCACCATGGCACCTGTTGTACCATTCACAGCTGGGATCCTGTAGTCTACCTCCACCAAGTAGTCCGTCCTGGTTAATAACAAATTAACACTCAAAGACAAGACAATGGGCGAAAGAATTTGTCCAGGTAAATTAAAATAATATTTGAATAATTGTATTAATATTTTAATTCTACACAAAAATACATTTTTTAATTATACAAAATTACAAATTTAAAAGTAACCTTCAAACCTTATGGTCCATGGGGCAGGTTTATTATAATAAATAAATATAATAATTATAATAATAAATAGTTGAATTTAAAGTTACCAAATCATTAATCAAATTTCAAATTACCAAGACACATTTCCAATCAAAGCGTTGGGTCTTTTAATCTGATCCACATTACACCACAAGACCGGGTATTGGGTCACCATTTGTCGGATGAACTTGTTGTTGCCTTCAGACAGAACTTCAAAGGATCCACTTTGTGGGGCAAGGTCATATGGCTCCTGGTACAGGGAGTAGCCTGCGTAGACAAAATGTCCAGTTTTGTCAACACTTCATGGACATTTCAAAGTTTAAACAATAGTGATTTCACACTGAAGTTTGTCATGTTAAAACTTATGCACAAGGAAAAGAAAATGTTATACTTTCAAAATCGTCAGAATAAGGAACTGGGAATGGCTTGGCAGGTGGTGAATCAGGGTAAGCTCCCTTGACACCAGTGTTCATGGTGGTCAGTGTAAACATGACGTCTGGGTCCAGATGCAGCTTGGCGGAGCCATTAACAAACTAGAAACAAAAAGTTTTACTTAGTTTATAGAATTAATGCATATTCATTTTGATTGTATGCGTTAAATATACTAATTGCTTAATCATTCAAACTAATTAAAGAATTAATTAATAAGCACTTAGCATTTCTTATTAATTAATTAAATTCTACTACAAATCACAATTGTTATCTGGATCATGCCATAGGACAATACTTTTTAAAACTTCTGTACCTTCAGAGGTTCCAGTTTGTTGAACATGCTGTGGTTTTGTTTGGAGAAGTCATAGCGACTGAACCACACATTCATCTGGGTGATGTTTGCCTGGAAAATTAATAATTTATATGTGGATGTAGAGACTTACAACATATCTGCAACAATATTGTACAATAAAGATTGGCCAGAAAGATTTCAGTTTAAAACATTGTAAAATGTTCAGGAAATGCTTGAGGTGATGCACACACTGACAAATATATTCAAGCAAATGGCTAAGAGCTTAGGGGGTGTCACAAATACTACCAGTAATGTGAACCCAGCTTAGGGGAGTCTCCTAACAGATACCCGGAGGGTATTTGGTGTGGTCTCATAAAAGGTTTCATGAAGATGATGTTAACCAGATGACCAAATTAACCATGTAAACTGGTGTGAAGCTGGAAATCTGCACTAAGTCAAACACTTAAAAATAAGCTGGCCACTGGTTACTTAAAGGAACAATTTAAGAAAAAATTATGTTCTATACTCCCAAAACAGTAGGTCAATATTTGTTCATTTCATTATGCAAGTGCTATGTAAAAACTTTAAAAAAAAAGTACAACTTACAAATTGACCCTTGAGGGTGATGGTGACATCTTGGGGATCAACAGAATACCAGGGTAGGCCAGGTCTGATGCAGTAGGAGTGGTCATGTGACTAGGTAAAAATAGATGTGGTCATGTGACTAGGTAATATAAAATCTATGGTACAACATTAATTTAAGAAAGCAACTAAAGTAAAATAACTTTACATTTTAAAATATATGTTTTTACCAGCTAAAATGTAAACAAAACTCTTGATAAAAAGTACATTCACTTAATTCACAAAGAATGAATTGCCAGATAACTCCAGCATAATGCAAGTCAAACTTACAATGGTCTCAAAGATAATTGTCAGATCATTTTGGTCTGGACTCATTAGACTGACATAGGATCCACCATGAGGCAAATGGCCAACTCCATTTTTGTGGCCCAGATATTTCCATCCAATGTTGACAAATTGGGTTGTGTGAGCTAATTTAAAAATAAATGAAAAATGGTAGTTATAATATAATTGCTACTTTAATTTAGATTTAGAGATAAGAGTTGTAAACTGCTGAAAGTACACTTCAACATTTGAGGTTTAAACTGAAAACACTAGAAAAGGGAAGTAACTACTTGTTTATCATGCTTCAATCAAAATATTTACCATAACCAATTAGCCTAAATTTATTTGGCTAATTAGTTGTTAAAAAAAAACTTTCACCATTTATTTTAATTTCTAACATTGATGAAATTGAGGTCAAATGTATCTACAAACACATCTGCCATCTTGGATGAACTCTGACATACCTGTCGCCCAGATGGGGAGTTCCACTGTGTACTTTCCTGACCAGGGCTGGTAGGCGGACATCAGGCCATCTCTAAAGTAGGGCAGACCCTCATAGTAGCTGGCTATCAGGTCCCAGGCTATGGTGCTAGAGAAACAAAACATGACTGGTCAGTCTTGGGGAGGAAGTGGGGGGGGGGGGGGCAGATCATGATAGTTGATATTTTTACATATTTAGCAGTAAGGAAGACCAGTGATTAAAACTTACGAGGTCATTAAGCCATTGACATAATTTTGATTCAATATCTGTTGAATAAAGAAATGTTAAAAATGATGAATTACAAAATGAATCTAAAAAGGCATCTGAAAAAATATCTTTAATAAAGAAAAGCAAAAAAAAAAAGCCAACCTACCCTAGACCAGCACCCAGCACCTACAGCATCATTGTACGTGCTGTAATCTTCTGACGCCCACAGCAACCTGCCAGAATCATAGGCTTCTTGTGAGGCCCACGTACCTGGGTAGTGGCACCTGGGGAAGATGGAGTTACAAGATGTAGGCTGTTAGCCTTGGCACATGTAATGTTGTATGTTTGGTATACATCAAATTTGACATTTGTATGAGCTGACAATATTTGGTATGGGTAGCATTCATCACATTTGACATGTGTATGAGCTGACAATGTATGGTATGGGTAGCATTCATCACATTTGACATGTGCATGAGCTGACAATGTATGGTATGGGTAGCATTCATCACATTTGACATGTGTATGAGCTGACAATGGTATGGGTAGCATTCATCACATTTGACATGTGTATGAGCTGACAATGTTTGGTATGGGTAGCATTCATCACATTTGACATGTGTATGAGCTGACAATGGTATGGGTAGCATTCATCACATTTGACATTGGTATGAGCTGACAATGTTTGGTATGGGTAGCATTCATCACATTTGACATTGGTATGAGCTGACAATGTATGGTATGGGTAGCATTCATCACATTTGACATGTGTATGAGCTGACAATGGTATGGGTAGCATTCATCACATTTGACATGTGTATGAGCTGACAATGTTTGGTATGGGTAGCATTCATCACATTTGACATGTGTATGAGCTGACAATGGTATGGGTAGCATTCATCACATTTGACATTGGTATGAGCTGACAATGTTTGGTATGGGTAGCATTCATCACATTTGACATTGGTATGAGCTGACAATGTATGGTATGGGTAGCATTCATCACATTTGACATGTGCATGAGCTGACAATGTTTGGTATGGGTAGCATTCATCACATTTGACATGTGTATGAGCTGACAATGGTATGGGTAGCATTCATCACATTTGACATTGGTATGAGCTGACAATGTTTGGTATGGGTAGCATTCATCACATTTGACATTGGTATGAGCTGACAATGTTTGGTATGGGTAGCATTCATCACATTTGACATGTGTATGAGCTGACAATGTATGGTATGGGTAGCATTCATCACATTTGACATGAGTATGAGCTGACAAGAGACCCGACTCACCCAACAGCATGTACAGCAGCATCCAGCTCCTTGTCACTCTTCATGTCGTGGACAATGTCCCAGCCGTTGTCAGATGCGATGATCAAACACTTGTTGAAGCCCCATGTGTCCAGAGTCTTTCTCAGAGTCTAAGAGAAGAAGTCCATGTTAACTAGGTTTGATAGTACTACAGAACAAACTAAAATACATCTCAACCAATGTGCAGAACAAACTATCATACATCTAAAACGGGACAAATCTAGAGTGTACAACAAACTATGATACACCAAGACAAGCCAGCATGATACACCAAGATTAGTCTAGAGTGTAGAACCAACTTACTTTAATGTAGTCCTTGCTGTAACCCCTTTCATTCCAGATCTGAAAACCAAAATTTTGAACTTTTAAAACACTTTCAGTGATAAACAGGAAACAAATTTAAATTCACAAGAACTTAATACATTAAACCATTGAGAAACCTAGTTACTAAATCTGTCCAATAATGGACAAACTAATTTGCATTTTAATTACATACCTAATTATTAGCTTAATTAAACTGATTGTATGCCAAGCTTACCCCAACATAATCAATAGTTAGATTGTAGTAGACTTTGGCTGCATTGATCCACCTGACGATGTAATCTGACGTCTTGTTGGGGTTCACGTAGGGGTTCTGGCTGCCCTCCCCTATCCAGCCGGGGAAACCCCAGGGTAGGGCGTACAGTTTGATGTCAGGGTTTCTCTGGAGAGAAAAAACTAGAAGTTAGGGCGTTTTAAGGATTAACTATGTGTTAGTATACGGTGATGGTGTTTGTTGAGGATTAACTATGTGTTAGTACACTGTGATGGTGTTTGTTGAGGATTAACTATGTGTTAGTACAATGTGATGGGGTTTGTAGAGGATTAACTATGTGTTAGTACACTGATGATGTTTGTAGGGGATTAACTATGTGTTAGTACACTGTGATGGGGTTTGTAGAGGATTAACTATGTGTTAGTACACTGATGATGTTTGTAGGGGATTAACTATGTGTTAGTACACTGTGATGGGGTTTGTAGAGGATTAACTATGTGTTAGTACACTGATGATGTTTGTAGGGGATTAACTATGTGTTAGTACACTGTGATGGGGTTTGTAGAGGATTAACTATGTGTTAGTACACTGATGATGTTTGTAGGGGATTAACTATGTGTTAGTACACTGATGATGTTTGTTGAGGATTAACTATGTGTTAGTACACTGTGATGGTGTTTGTAGGTGATTAACTATGTGTTAGTTCACTGTGATGGTGTATGTTGAGGATTAACTATGTGTCAGTACACTGATGGTGTTTGTTGAGGATTAACTATGTGTCAGTACACTGATGGAGCTAGTAAACTGAGCATCTAAAGCCAATGTTTGTACACTGATGGTGCTAGTAAACTGAGCATCTAAAGTCAATGTTACCTTCTTAGCTTCAGTCATCAGCCACCACTCGTAGCCTCTTTGGTAGTTCTCATCCCAGCTGTAGTGCATGTGGGAAGGTTCGGATCCATCTGGAGGGGGGGGGGCATGGTACAAACGGGGAAAAAATGTACATTTTTTATATAACATAGATGTGCTCGAATTTAACCAAAAAAATTGGAATGGAAAAATTCTTGTAACTTTAAGCAACTAGGACTCAACTAATATTTGAACAAGTGGAAAAAGGTTAAACAAACCTGTGCTTTGAATGTCTCCTCCAATTTCAACTTTCAAGATATGAAGAGATGCCCCAAAGTTTGGCTAGATGGATTCAGTATACAGGTTTATACAACTTACATTTTTAATTAATGGTTCTATTAATAGAATTCAAATACTACACAAGCGTGTCACTGAGAAAGTAGAACAGGCTCTTACGTTTTTCAAAATATAATCATTGAAAGATTTCACAAATGGAAGTGTATTGTTTATAGATCTAACAATCCTAAACTGAGCGATGATCCCATTCCACTTGAATGGGTTCAATATTTTTTTTTATTTTACAACCTATTCCAAGTTACAGACACCAATCTAATGCTTATGATACGAACTCACCTTGAAAAGGTAATCCAAAATTTGACTCTGTAGATCAGGTGGGTAGTTGACCAGCAGCTTGGAAGTTGCCTGCAAATTTAAAGTGCGATCAAAGATTGATTTAAAGTTATAAGATTGGACGTTCAACATCAAGTTTGATCAAAGGTTGATTTAAAATTTATAAAACAGGACGTTCAAAATAAAGCTTGATAAAAGACTATTTAAAATATAAAACTTGACTTTCAACATAAAAGTTCGATCAAAGATTGATTTAAAGTTATAAAACTGAAGAAGCTGACATGCATTTGAAAAAGGTCGTGTGCTGTGTCAGCATATCTTGAATGGAATCTTCCAGAAACCTCAACCTAGCAGACTTGTAGCACACAAGTGCTGCACATTTCTAGAAGTCCCCAGATAAAATCTGCAGACGACAGTGCATCAAGAAGAGCAAAAGTTTTAAAAAAGGGGATCTTACCCCTCCACCACTGATGCCACCAATTCCCTCAAAGATACGTCCCAGTTGACCGGTAGGGTCAATGTTCAGAACGTTGTCGCTCAAAGCAAGATGCGCCGACACCAACACACACAGCAGACGATGAATACCACACGCCATCATACCGCTGTCACTACAGCAGACTTCTACACAAGGTCACACTTAGCAGGCGTCCAACGGTCACTGGTTTACACTTAGATCTAGCAGACGATCAACTAAACAAGGCTCAAGCAACACTACAGTTCTGCATTACTGGGTGTCACCTCAGGTTTTTATAGCCTGCCTACGGGATGTGACCCGCTTCTACCAATGTTGACCTGTTTCCGTGTTTACCTAAACATCACCTGATTGATAAACACACCCACGTGAGTAGATATACCTGGCCAGCGACAACAAGAAAATTTTCTTCCCACAAATTCCTGTGATTAGATGTCACCGTCCACACGAACACCTCCCCACCCGCCCTCCCCGTAACTTTCATTAAAAACTTCTAGTTCACTGTGTCGATGACCTATTTTCTCCTCACTGAATCACGTGACTTCGTACCACCATCAATATCGTCTGATATTTTGTCTCATGCAGGTTTTAAAATTTGAGAGAAAGGGGTTCATATTATTATTAGCACACCTCACTACAACACTGCGATTTTTTTAGTAACAAAAGTCGCACGTACAAAAGTCGCAGGAAAAAGCTACGTTATATCATAGTGTTGCGAGTTATACATGTTTTTATGTAGTTGATCAGGGTGAGCTGTTTTGTAGAACACTTAGCCGCCATAGCAATTCGTGGCAATTTGTCCTCGACAATTTAGAAACAATTAAAAACATTTCAAACAGCAGTACGCTGTGAGTCATCTTACAATGTCGTGTTGGGGCACGACTTACATGAGCAACAACAGTTGTACTTGTTATTGGTAGGGGGGTAGGGTTCTTTTAAAAGTTTAGAACAATTAAAATATTCAAATCGCTTTCATTTGTGTTGGGCGCAACACCAAAATTGGAAACCAATGAGGCCAAAACTGTTGCAGAAATATCGACCTATTAGGCCTACTAGTTGGGTTTCAACATGGGTGCATGTGTAGTGGGGGAGGGGGTGAGGGGAGAATATAGGTTTGATTTAACTATTAATTGGGTTCAGTGTGAAAAAAAAAAAGGGGGGGGGGAGGTAAATTACTGAAAAGTTCACACACAAAAAGTCGCAATTCGCCTCCACCAATCACATGTGGTAATAAACAGATCAGCTGGTAGTGTTGACCCTTACTTGCTGACGTCACGTCACAAGATGAAATCTCCCCGAGCGTGACCTTTGGGAGGTGTGTCACATGGCTGCTGACCACTGGTCACCGCAGGAACTGCCCCCTGGGGGTGTGTATGTTGTGGGGGAGTCAACTATAAATACATCAACATGTAAACAAGACGTATGCTAATCACAGGGGGAGGGGGGGCGGTTTGTGTATAATCCTTACCTTGAAAAGTGAGTAAGAAAATAGATCCACAGCAACACAAAGTCATGTGGTTATGTATTCATACACTGAGCTTTGATAACTTATAACTGTAGTCCTTATGTAGGCCTATGCTGACAAAAAAAATGACTCAATTCAAAACGAGGTCATAATTTGGTAAATTTAGAAAGGACGTGAGCGACTAAGTGTCAAGTGGTCTTGTCAATTTATCAGTGTGGCCTCGGGGTGAAGGTTATTGCCTGATTTTAAATCTAGGTCACGATAAACTAGTTTTTCATCGAATAACCATATTTGAAGGTCACGGTGCTAAACGCGAGATATTCAACTCGAAAAGTGTTTTTATCAAGGCCATTTGACAGGCCGGGTAACTAGGTACAGAATGTCTATAAAGGCCATTTGACAGGCCGGGTAACTAGTTACAGAATGTCTATAAAGGCCATTTGACAGGCCGGGTAACTAGTTACAGAATGTCTATAAAGGCCATTTGACAGGCCGGGTAACTAGGTACAGAATGTCTATAAAGGCCATTTGACAGGCCAGGTAACTAGGTACAGAATGTCTATAAAGGCCATTTGACAGGCCGGGTAACTAGTTACAGAATGTCTTTAAAGACCATTTCTTCTCTTCTTCTTCTTCGTTCTTAATTTTTAGTGTTGGGAGGGATCAAGCCTTATCTGCCAGAGGGTTTGAACTCGAGACTTTTTTTCGAATTTATCAACCATGAGCTTTGCCGACTCGACCATGCTTCCATCACAATTAAGGATTACGTGTCAACTGGTTATGCGCCATTGAGGCCATTGACTCCGATTTCAGCCTGCTTTTCTTTTTGGATTTGCTTCCATAGCCTTTGTCCAACCAAGAACAAACTACAAAGCAGCAGTTGTTAGATTTTGGAGTTGTCTCTCCTAGAAGAGTGGCTGTCCCCAGCTAACGAGAGCGAACTCGAGACTTTTCGGTTTAGCAACCATGAGCTTTACCGACTCGACCACGCCGACCCCTAAAGACCATTTGAAAGGCCGGTTAACTCGGTGTACTGCAGTATATTCAGTGAAACTGAAATTTTCGGGGTAGCGGACACTGTTAAAGTATATATTCTCTGTATAAATTCTATTTCATTCGGGCGGGGAAATCTTTCCATCCCCCCCCCCCCCCCCCGAAGAGATGCCTGGAAGAGTATATTTTGTTTTCTAGTATCACAATTGACCATGTAACCTCAATGAAAACGTTCACACAGTTTAACCTTTCTCTTCAGGTTTAATAGTATCAAGTTTGAAGTTCGTCACTGAAACCCTCCCCCCCCCCCTCGGGGCTTCTAACGATTTTTTTTATCGCTAATGCCCCAAGCAGTTCCAAGTAGGCATATAGAATGATATACAAATAAATGAAGATAAATATGTTAAAAACAAATGTTTAAAATGTTTTACAACTTTCTGCATTCACATTTGGCTAATTATATTATTGCAACAATAATTCCCTCGTGGAGGTCCGCAGAATTAGCATTCACATTTTGACTTTACTTGGTCCTCTTTGCTCCTTATGGAACATAGGGCCTCCACCATTTCCTTCCATTTCTTCCGATCCCCGGCTATTAATTTTGTCATCTCCCAAGACATCCCTGTTGGCTTCAGTTCTTCAAGAAGACTCCGCCTCCAGGTCTGTCTTGGGCGCCCTCTTTTCCGCTTTCCCTGGGGGTTCCACTCAAGCGCTTGGCGTGTAACAATTGGGTGAGCCTTTTCCAGTGTGTGACCCACCCAGCGCCACTTCCTCCTTCTTATTTGCACACCCATAGGCTCCTGCCTAGCTTTCCTCCATAGTTCTATGTTCGGCACTTTGCCCTGCCATCTCAGTTTCAATATCTGTCTAAGGCATCTATTCATGAAGGTCTGTATCTTTGCTGTGCTTGCTTTGGAGACTCTCCATGTCTCTGCTCCATACAGCAGAACTGCCTTGACAATTGAGTTAAATATCCTAATTTTTGTGGTAATGGAGATGGCCGAACTTTTACATATGGGTCGCAGGACTGTGAAAGCGCAGCGGGCTTTATTAACTCTAGCGCGTATGTCCTCCTCTGTGCCTCCCGTTTTGCTGATCTTGATGCCAAGGTAGACAAACTCTTCCACCTCATTTACCTGTCTCCCGTCTATTGTCAATGGGGCCTCCTGGTTATTGTTAATTCTCATCACTTCTGTCTTTTCTTTGTTCATCTTGAGACCTAAGCGCTGAGAGATGGCTCCTAATGCATCAACTTTTTCTTGCATGTCTTGTAGCCTGTGCGAGAGTAAGGCAAGATCATCTGCAAACTCCAGATCTTCTAGTTTCCCCGTGAGTGTCCACTGAATACCTTTTCCAGAACTGGCATAGGCTGTGCGTGTCACCCAATCGAGAACCACCAAGAAGAGGAGGGGCGACAGCAGACATCCTTGTCTCACACCTGTGCAGAGGCGTAGCGACCCTTCCCAGCGCCCGGGGACAAAACTTTCGATTTGCACCCCTCTCAAACTTTCAATTTCCACCCCCCTCAACCTTTCAATTTGCTTTTCCAACCCATTTTGGTCGGACATATGTCCCCCCCCCCGCCCCCCTCCCCCTCGCTACGCCTCTGCACCTGTGTTGACCTGGAACTCTTTAGACAGTTTCCCAGCATTCACATTTTGCTAATTATATTATTACAACAATAATTCCTTCTTGGAGTTCCGTAGATTTTACATGCACATTTATTTATTAGCTTAGAAATCACAAACACATAAGAAAACACTCATTACGTAACACGACTTAATGCAAAAATAAACGCATAGTGCTCACAGTCTAGCGCACCTTATGAACATGACGACGCGTCAATAATAATAGTGCTGGATAGTTGATTAAAAATTATAGCATTGGCAATGTAATTAGAATCACCGCCGAACAACACGCTTTCCCAGGCGTCCAGAGTTTCTTCCAGGAATCTCTATCGCCCCCCCCGCCCCCCCCGAACGAAATAAAATTTATATAATTTATATTGAAAATATATACTTTTAACAGTGTCCGCTCCCCCCCCCCCCCGCTGAAAGTCTACCGCTCCCCCCCCTCACCCCCCACCCCCGAAAATTTCAAGTGTCCCCCCGGACAAAAAAGTCTGGAAGAAACACTGGCGACTATACGGGTGGGGGAGGATGGGGGTGGGGGTGGTTGGCGGGTGGAATCAGTGGCGGAACTAGAAAAAATGGGCCACCCCGCAAAAAAAATTTTTGGGCCCCCCCATATATATATATATATATATATATATATATATATATATATATATATATATATATATATATATATATATATATATATATATATATATATATATATATATATATATATATATATATATATATATATATATATATATAATTCTCTTCTTCGAGCCGTTAGAAAACAAGCTGCAAACGCTCTCCCTACCTCCCCACCCCTACATGGTTTTAGTGAGCTGTGTTCACTCTAAATGTTTACAAGCAGAGCCAACGATTTTAAACGTAGGGGGGGGGGGGGGTTATGGTCCTTAACGAGCTACTTATAGTGTTTTAAAGAAATATTTTCAGTGGCAGCGTTGGTACTGTCGAATTCACAAATTTTGAATTACTGAAAAGTAGAAAAAACAACAACTAAATAGCGGCGTATGTTATGCCGCGGGCCGGCTCGTATATATATAATTCTCTTCTGGGATCAGTTAGAAAACAAGCTGCAAGCGCGCCTTTGCAGTCCCCTCTCTTCCTCTCTATCACTATCACTACCACCCCCACCCCACCCCCACATGATCTGGTGAGCGGTGTTCACTCTGTTTACATTTTACAATCACAGAGACGGGTTTGGTGACGGCTATTAGGGGCAGATAATTAAGTTTGAAACGATTTTAAACTTAGAGGAGGTAACTAAGAGGAGGCTGCTTTCACGTGGGGGGGGGGGGGTAGTGTTTTTAAGCAAATATTTTCAATGGCAGCATTGGTACTG